AGAACGGAAAAGTGGATCCTTGGATGTGACAGGCAGGCACCGAAACATCAGCTGAATGCCAAACGAGGCTCGCATAAACGTCGCTAGTTGTTATGGGAAATGTAAATGTATCTCACGGATACACAAGTTACAAGTTGTTTGCCCGACATGTTTGTGTTCCCTGTGCCTCTGCCTCTGCCTTGGCCCTTCGTCCTTTTGCCGCACGTCCTTGTATTGACACTTGTCTCTGTCTCAACGAGTGCGTGAGTGCAGAAGGGAGAGCATTAGCCCGGTTTTGGTACACTATTTTCGATGCGAATTCCCATTTCCCTTTTTCCCTTCCAATTTCCATGTCAAGCCCGCCCAGGTAGACTTTGCTTCACCTCACCTCCTCAATCTCCTCGTAATCCGCTCGAAATTCACGGAAAATGAAACCAATTTATTCATAGAATGAACGAATCATTACCCAACTTTGTTGGCTAGTAATTTATTTTGCAAATACAAAGTCAATAATGAGAGATGAATGCTGATGGGGGAAACAATCAAATGGAGTTCCCGGAATGGGATAGTTTTTTTTTTCGACAAATTGAAGATTAAAAATCGAATACCTTTGCCATAAAAGCAAACATTCTAATTCGGAAAACGTTCCGTGTTAATTACAATACCATTCAAGGGTATACAAATACATGGTATTATTGTTTAAGAGAATTGAAAGCAATGTATGCTAAGCTTTAAGACACCTTCCTTCCTTAGTTTGTATATTAGAATATATTTCTGATTTCTGATTGCATAAACTGGCTGCCTTCTCCAGAGGGAGATCTCAATCTGGTCAGGGTAACCCTTTTAAGATTAAACTATATTTACTAGTTTGGCATTCAATTTTGTTATCAGTGAAATACAGATGGCATTCAATAAAGGCTACTGTTTTGCATTTATAAATGTCTAGAGCAGGGTTTTTTTTTTTAAATGAGAATAAACATATTAAATAGTTTTGAAGAGAACAGATTTGTTCCCAAACTTTGCTCCGTCTTTAAGTTATTCATAAAGTCTTACTGGAGTTTAAAATTTAAGATTTCTTACTCAAGCATCCTTTGTTTAGCTTAATATTTCCTTTATTTCAGAGTCTTTTAACACTCAACACTAAATATTTGCTCACTGGTTCCACATTTATGCTGCTCTTAGCTGCAATTTCAGGATTTGTGATCGCAAAAACGAGTAATCCTGCGGAGCGGCTAAGAAGGCCAAACAATTACCCGTTAGTGTCGGTCACAAAGCGAAACTGCAACACGGAATGAAAGGATCGGAACGCTATAGTTACTATATATTATATTCTATAAAGTCTAGTTTCGAATAGGGACTCGGATTCGGAGACGAGAATCACGAGATGTTGCGCGTCGATTGAAGGCTGATAACGAAATGAATTTCAACGACGATCGCAGGCGATAAATAAGCGAGAGAATTCGATCTGTGTCCCTCTAATACTAATGCTAATGCTCCCGATTCGCTCCCAAGTGTAATTCAATCGATGTCACTCTGGCTGTGCGATCATTATCTATCTATCTATCGGTGATGATGATGCCGCCCCCCTTCTGCCCTCCGCTGAATATCCCTATGGCATTGTGGTCTGCTGTAGTGTCGCCGGCGGCTCTTAATCACAGTTTTTCAGCGCCGGCAATCGACTTGGTGCAACGTAACTGTATCTACGTCTATGCATCGTTTAAACAGACCTACAGTAGAGCTTCGATTAGTTATCCATGAACATCAAAGAAGCACCAGATGCTTGCAATTATAATTCCTTGGAAAGTCACAGAATGTGTCTATGAAACACTTGAACAAATCCACTTAGAAGATAATATTTTATTAATCCAACAACCTCAGATTTTGAGGAACCTCATCAAGACCCTACAGAAGTCTCATTCTTATCGTAGGTTGACATTATTGAAGCCTCACTGTTTGCACTAGATGCTTGTGTGCACAGAGGCGCCTTTGTCGTTGGATGTTTTTGCGGTTTTTAGCTTTTGGGTCGTCGCCGTTGTTGTCGTTCAGACGATTGTACTGCATCCACCGCTTGATAGATACAATTACAGTTAGCTCCTTGAGGAGCAGGCGTTGCCTGGCAACATGGCAGCTTGCTAACTTGGCCATCATCAGCAGAACGTCAGCATTAGGTCGTCAACGTTACGGTTATTGTCACTGTTGCGGCTTCTCGGTGAATCCCCCAAACGCCATTGCCGCCTCCTCAATTACGCTTGAATATGCATTAGCCAAGGATTTGCAAGTCCTTTACCGGAGAATATCCTGCTACAAATGCAGAAAATTTCTTGGAATGGGGGAGTGTGTGTGTGTTGCGGGGGTGGAGCAATCAAAGTATTTCATTTCAATCAGATATCCTAGAAAGGACATTGATTTGGGGCATTTAACTTGAGGTTTCATTGGTTTTCTGGATAACAAAGGGTTGCAAGTTAATGTATTTTTAGATTTATATTACAAGCCAGCTTTATTTTAAGGTTTTAACTTCTTAAAGATCATTTTTAAATTCTGTTTTTAAGCTTTTTAATGCTGCTAAGAGTTTTATATTTATAGCCTTGAAGGCTATTAAAATCCAGTGAACAGCATCAACAGCAGAATTGATCTAGTCATGCCCGGTTAAGAAGAATAGCGATTTCGAATCCCCTTTATTTCTAATTATTAAAAACATGTAGAAAACAAAACTATTCATGTAATTCACACCCTAATTCCACTTGCAAAGTACAATGATATACAAACTTCGGCTTTCTAAAGTTAGATTGCTATCTTGTTATTAAAGTCATTCGCTTCGAATTTCCTCTTCTGTAAACTACACTTTAATACACAAAACTCCACAGAAAAATAATATAAAATAAACCCCAATCTTTTTATGTAGAGGGACATAAAAGCTTTACTTCAGCCTAAGTTAGTCAATAGAAACTCTGCTGCATAGCGAGCTATGTTTGTGTTAATTTTTCATAGGCCCCTCCATTCAGTTCGCTGTTTGCGTAGTTTTCCATTTGGCTCAGAGCAACCAGAAGAGTATCGCGGGTATATCTACGTGTGGATTTTCTAGTTTGCGCATATTTTGTAATTCAAATCGCTTTTCGTATGCCTTGTGGTTTTTTTGGTCAGAAGCCAAACAAGGGAGCGCTCTACAAACTACTCGCGAGGAGCACACTGGTGTCTCAGTATCCGAGTAACCAATGTGGGGCACACACACCCATCCACCCACAGTTGCATATACGCAAAAAAAAAATGTATTTGAGGGCACTGGAAGAAAAAACAAGAAAGTATTTCTAACACTTAAGTTATATTAGTAACTTCTCCTTGACTCTTTACCTCATTATATGTTAGTTCTTCTTATGGAAATAGTTTTGTGAATTTAATATAATTTACTGCAATTCTACTGCAGTTATTTTCAGTGTCTTTAGTTGAATATGAAGTAAGTCTAAGCGAGTAGCACAAAGCGGCTTACTTGACTGGACCCTGCATTTTTCGACTTCTTTCATCTTGGGCTGGGGGTGAAGTGGTTGGGAGGTGGGAATTTGCCACAAACTCGCACATTACTTTGCCTTGGTGGAGTCTGCCTTGTTTTTCTTGGACCCTTTATCTTTGTTTGCTCAGCCTTCGCACGTGCCCTCCTACTCATCCTTCCTGTCCGGAAAATATCCCTAATTCCCATTAGCAAAAGCTTTAAGCGGCTTACGAACGGTAATTGCAGCCGTGTGCTGTCACTCTCCGGTTATGTGTCCTCTGCCATCGGTTATCAGTTATCTGTTATCGGTTATCAACAGAAGCAGACAACTCTTTGACTTTTCACAGATTATCCTTGAGAAAATATTTACATTGACAGGGCCAAATCAAACAAAACTCGAAAGCAAAAATTGTTGTTAACTAACAATTAACCCTGAACTATGTAGGGCAATGGAATATACTCCAGATATTTTTAAAATATTTTAAAATGGTTTCAAAACCTCAATTCTTTTGAGATCTAGTTTGAACGTGCTGAAAAGTATGCTATAAAATTTGCAGTTCACGCTACATATAGTACCTGACTTTCGGACATCCTTTTCAATAGATTTCAAACCCAAAGAGATATCTCCAACACCTCGGCTTATCTCCCATTTGTTCCCCTGTGCTTCAACCTCAAAGGAAACCCAAGAAAACAGGGCATCCTGCATTTATCCATAGAAAGGACAAACAATTCGTGATTCACAAGAAGAGCATGCCAAAAGGAAGAGCAGTACAAACACACCAGAAAGTGACACAGCAAAATGTGGAACGAAGCAAAACTGTTGTCGACATAAATGGCACAAACCGAGGAGAAACTGCCTTAGACTAAGTAGAGCAGCAGCAGCAGCAGTTGAGGCTGCTGCTGTTGTTCGGCTTTAAATAGATGCGGTAATTAGATACATGACACATTAGTCCAACTCGAGACTGAATAAGGCTTAGCAGCAAATCCAGAGCAAAAGCGACTTTATGGTAAATAGCTTTTGGCTGCGGATAGCCACAAAACCTAATTACCACCCAGATGGCTTAATGCTTTTCTCTAACTCATATCTAGGCTAAATGCTTAACGACACTCTCAACACTTCATCTTGGAAGAATTTATTATAGCCTTGCAGGGTATTATATTTTCAGTCAGAAGCTTAAAATAGTTATGAGTTTTTTAAACATAAGGAACCAAGAAATCTAAGTGCGCTCCTCACATTACACCTTTATCCTTTATAAGTAATTATTTCAAAAGGGTTTAAAATCATCAAAGATTGTAATTGAAATTCCCTCTGAATATTGGCCAGCTCCTACCGACACAAGAAAAACATTAGCTCCCCTAAAACATACTAAACCCATCTGCAGAGACCCCATTCTAATAAACGTGCTCCCGGCAAAACTGGAGCAACTGCATCGGGCTACGTGAGTTGAATGCTTCGCAGCCTGTTCCGGAGTTGACTCCTTGCCGAGCCCCATCTGGTGCCCATAACTAATGTCTCTTCCTCCCTCTCTGATTGCAGTGCACTCCCTGCCCCATCTGACGGTACTAAGCCTGTCCGGATGCAGCAAGCTGACGGACGACGGAGTGGAGCTGATTGCCGAGAATCTGCAGAAGCTGCGCGCCCTGGACCTGTCCTGGTGTCCCCGCATTACGGACGCCTCGCTCGAGTATATCGCCTGTGATCTGAACCAGCTGGAGGAGCTGACGCTGGATAGGTGAGTCCTCCGCCAGGCGCAAGGTCGTCGCTCTACCCTTCATCTTCCGTTCGCTGTGTAATTATTCATGAGTAAAATTCAATTTCCGTCGCCGAGTAGCTGCACCTCATCTCCGGCGTCGGCCATTAGTCGTCGTTCTCCCTCTTACGGTCAGGAAACTGGCAGTCAATTACACACAGAAAACTATTTCGAGTTGCAAAAGTAGTTCATTGGTGAAGGAATTAAAGAAAAATAAGTGATGAAGAGTCTCTGATTTTTAGAATATGTTACTTATATGTATTTATCAATATTAATTCTTTGATGATTACTTGAGAAAGATGTATAAAATACATTAAATAGTAAAATGTGGTATTTAAAGACGAAGCTTTTCACAGTGCAGGGTTTTCCCCTATCCCAGCGATTCCTTCTGTAATCTGATTGTGCTCGGTCGCAGGCAGTTGACTCGCAACGTAATGTTTTCTGAAACAATCTCTGCCATATAAACCCAGGCACACATCTGGCGTATGCACTTCCAACCCAGTCAAAGAGGTTAAACCCAAGCCGCCCCTTGACGCTAATAGGAACTACATAGATATGGGGCCAAAAGGAAGAAGGCCAATAATGTAGTGAAGGTACAGATTCCGGACTATTATAAAAGATTTCCAGGAGTTATCAAGGAAACATACTCTTTATAATCCATGTTTTCTATAGTTTAAAATATACAAATTAATTCATATTTTTAAATGCAATTCGAAATCAATTTTTAAATACATTTTCCCCACTTAAATTTCAGATGCGTGCACATAACAGACATCGGCGTTGGGTATATCTCCACGATGCTGTCCCTAACCGCCCTCTTCCTGCGCTGGTGCTCCCAGGTGCGTGACTTTGGGCTGCAGCACCTGTGCTCAATGCGCAACCTGCAGGTGCTATCTTTGGCCGGCTGCCCGCTACTGACCTCTTCGGGTCTGTCCAGCCTGATCCAGCTGCGGCACCTGCAGGAGCTGGAGCTGACCAACTGCCCGGGGGCGTCGCATGAGCTGTTCGACTACTTGAAGGAGCACCTGCCTCGCTGCCTGATCATCGAATAATCGATGTTGGACGGCGGCCCTATCTCTTTAGAACCCGGACAATGGACGACACTGATTTTGGTTTGAGTTCGGTGTATGATTATTTGGTACACTTAGCCTCCAGGCGGCAAGTTCCTCGCGTGCTATGTGACTTTAACTTTCCGTCAACACTGTACTCACTACTCTCTATCCCTTATAGTTTTAGACTTTTTATGATTTCTGCTGTGATTTGATATGGAACTTAGTTAAGTTGATCTGTTTAAGACGATGTACCACAAAAGACCCGAAGATGATATTTATTTACACGCAATGCAATATGTCTAATATACATACATAAATATATATATATATATTTATATTTATAAATATACATACATTATTTATATTATTGTAGTTTTTAACGAACGTTTTATTTATTTACTACTCTCGCTGTAACTAAACATACAGTCTACGTGTAAATTACCGACAAAACAAAAACAAACATTGCGCCCAAAAGACGAACAAACAAACAACAAACAAATATGAATTACAAAGAATCAAAATATGCAATTAACTTACATTAGTTCAAAGAAGCAAAGAAACAAAAAGCAAAACAAAACAAAACAAAAATCGAATAAATTTGAAAATATTTACGAGTTGCCGGCAGCTTTAAATTGAGAAAATGCAATTGAACACACAAAAAACTTAGTCTCTTGCAGCCCCTGACCAGTGAAACCTTACTTCGATTGTACCATATGACTAATCTGTAACTAACTTACGGCAACTGAAAGTATTTTAAGCAAGGAATCGGTGCACGCTACCCATGGAGTCAATATTTAACACAATGTTTAGCAAATTGTTGTCAAGCGAACAATGAAACAATCTATGAATGTACTTCTGGCCCCCAAAGATACTCTATATAAATAATTATAGCTTACGTTAAAGCGAGCTGCTCTCCTCCTCGTCCCCATTAAACTAAAGCAATCCTCCCTCTCAGACCTAATGTAAATGCTTTGTTTTTAAATCCAGAGGATGAGAGCGAGAGCCCTTCATCATGAACGGAGACGGCAAGTCGCAGTCCTAAACCAACAAAAAAGCAAACACAACCACTCTACAAGTACATGATAAATAAATAAATGGAGAAAATGATTTAAATTGTGTTTTTGTCTAACCTTTCTGTACCATAATCTGTATATTTTAACGTTAATAATAACTAACTTTCCCCTCAAATAGAAAATATTTGAGTTCACTTACAATATAATAATCAAAATCCGTGTCATTCCTCACATGCACCTTCGCCATCCTCGTCATTGTCATACTCATCGTCCTCCTCGTCGTCTTGCTCTTCCTCTTTGCCTTGTTGGTCCCACCAGGAGAGTACGCCCAGGCCAGACTCATTGATGGCACCCTGTAACTGCACTTTGTCACCAGAAATCTTTCACACAGACACTCAATTGAACTCACAATAATCTTGTACGGTGTCTTGACCTCCTGAGCGGCAGCAGCGGCTGATGCAGCTGCCGCTGCAGACGATGAGCTGGATCCCTGTTGTGACTGAGCCTCTGCCTTGGGTGGCCCTATAGGCGATGTCTCTTCGAAGATCTCTCGCGAGACTCGGAACTTGATGGGCTCGCCCACATCCATGAACAGATCGTGTTTGGCCCCGTCTTCCAACGGATATTCCCAGACCCAGGCCTGCTCGGCCTCGTCAAAGCGGGAGGGATGTTGCAAGGCGGCGTGCGGGATGAGGATGTCGTCGAAGAAGCCGAGCGTCACATGGACACCTTCTCGGCTGCAATTGCGTATCTTTCCCGTGAGCACAGTACCAACCATTGGCCGAAAGACCACATAGCGAAAGAGCACCTCCGTGTGCGAGGCTCCATCACCTGGTAGGATAACCGAGTCCTTCAGCGAGACGATATCTTTGAGAGCAATGCACAGTCCAACATTGAGTAAAACCTGCGGTGAAATAAAGGTGCAGACTGAGAAACTATCCATGGGATGGCAAGGATTCTCTTACCTTGTTGGCCAGCTTGCGGTCGATCTCGTCGCGCACAGCGTCCACTAGCTTGAGGTGGAACTGGTCCGGTGCAATGCGCACGGTGTCCTTCAGCTCAGCCAGCACGAACATGGCGCTGAACTCCAAGCAAATTAATAAATTTAAAAACTACAGGTCTTTCATGGTTGTTTTTATGGAAATCCAAACATGTGTAGCGGGCCAGTGTGGCCATAGCGGAACCGGCTTAAAACACAGCAAAATACTTCTGATAAATATACCAAAGTATTCACCACCACAAGAAAGAACCGTTAAAAAGTGAATTTTCTATTAATAATGTTAGTAAGACTAATAAAAAATAGTAAATTGAATACAAATTAATTAATTTGAATTGTTAAATACATTTATTATATAGTTCATTATTTCCAATTGGATATTTCAACATCCAACTGGTATAAATATACCAAACTTTCTGCCCTGGTGAAAATACCAAAACAATGTCCGCGCATCCGAATGAATGGCATTCGCAACACGTGTGGTTAAACCAATTTTGTGAAATTTCAGAACTTAGACCGATTTGTGAAACTTTATGCATATCTTAAAAAGCTCATTGGCTATAAATACGTTTCTCAACTAATACGGTTAAGTGATTGTGCCGAAGATGGACAAAGACGACACGCACAAGTACAGCGACGCCGAGGAGGACGCCGAAGACCTGCAGAATGTAAGCACTATAAATTATCAACTTCGAAGTTCTATTTACAAAAATATACATTTCCTTTAGTCCGAGTGGGTCAACGATTTCAAAACCCTCACAGTGAAGCATGAAATCTTTAAAGACATCAAGCTTACGCCAAAGGAAGCCAACGATGACCTGGAATTGGTAATAGAACCCACCAATGAAGAGGATGAAGACGAGGATGGGCCTGAGAATGAAGAGGACTACGATGAAGATGATTACGAAGTTGGCGACGACTACGACACCTACGAGGAGGCCTACACGGGGTTTAATAAGCTCCACGTCCAGTCACAGCTGACACACGCTAGTGGAGGAGGCAGTTCCGGCGGTGGCGGTGGAGGAGGTTCTGGTGGCACACAACGCGTCAGCAGCTATCAGCCCAATGAGAAGGTACTGAGACGGTACTCCGCCCGCATCAACGTGGAAAAATACGATCCCACCACCAATATGAGCGCGCAGGCGGCCAACCGGCTGGTTAACTTCGATAGGCGAGAGCGGACGCAGGTTCGGGACAAACACGACCGAGCGACGGCCGAGCAGGTGATGGATCCCCGAACCCGAATGATTCTCTTCAAGCTGCTGAATCGAGGCCTCATACAGGAAATCAACGGCTGCATTTCCACCGGCAAAGAGGCAAACGTATACCACGCAGTGTCCAAGGACGGAGGCGATGAGTATGCCATCAAGATCTACAAGACGTCCATACTGGTGTTCAAGGACCGCGACAAGTATGTATCTGGCGAGTTCCGCTTCCGTCACGGTTACTGCAAGCACAATCCTCGAAAAATGGTGCGCACCTGGGCCGAGAAGGAGATGCGCAACTATCTGCGCATGCGTAACGCTGGAGTTCCAGTTCCAGAGCCAATCCTACTTCGTTCCCATGTTCTGGTCATGCGATTCTGTGGCCGCGACGGCTGGCCCGCTCCCAAACTCAAGGACGTCGAGCTGAGCACGTCCAAGGCGCGTGAGCTTTACCGCGACTGCGTGGTCATTATGTGGCGTATATACAACCAGTGCCGCCTCGTCCATGCCGATCTCTCCGAGTTCAACATCCTGCTGCAGGACGGACAGCTAGTGATCATCGATGTCAGCCAGGCCGTGGAGCACGATCATCCGCATTCGTTTGACTTTCTGCGCAAGGACTGCACCAACATCTCGGAGTTCTTCCGCAAGCGGGCCGTGGCCACCATGACTGTGAAGGAACTGTTCGACTTCATCACCGACCAGACCATCAACGAGAACAACATGGAGGAGTGTCTGGAGCGCATAGCGGAGCGTATCAAGGACCGGGACTTTGACGCCATAACCGCACAGGAGAAAATCGACGAAGCCGTGTGGCAGAACACCTACATTCCCAAGCGATTGGACGAGGTGAGTTCCTTTAGTTGGCTCCTTATCCAAAGATTTCTTAAGTTCCGGAATTTCCTTTACAGGTTCGACACTTTGAGCGTGATGTTGCCAAGGCCAAGGAGGGTGTCCAGCAAAATCTCATCTACGGAAAGATTACGGGCCTGAATGCGGATCTGGATGTGCAGCAGCAGCCTGACATTTTGGAATCCAAGTCTCAGAACCAACAAGATGAACCTCATACGGAAGGCAGCGATGAAGACGCGGACTCACAGGAAAATGAGGACGACGACGATGATGGCACTCGCTTTAAGAACTCCGCCCGACCACGCGATGAGTCGCCGGAAAGCAAAAAAGCTCGTAAAAAAGCCGTAAAGGAAGCAAAGGCCGAGCAGCGCAAGGTCAAGGTGAAAAAGCATGTAAAGAAGCGCAAAGAGAAATTGGGCAGCATGAAAAAGTAGAAGTTAAGTTCCTGCTCCTGCCTTCAATTCTAACTAGCGTTAATTACCTTTTACAATTTTAAAATTGTTCTAAGCTAAAAGTTAATTTTTTGTACTTTGTATATAATATTTACAAAATTAAATTGTACAGAAGTGGTTTATTATTAGTTAATAAACATATTTGCCACAAAACAAAACTGTTTTTATTCTATATACTGGACTCTCATGGTATCTTTAATTACTAGCAATCGCAAGGGAGCTTCTCGTTTTAAAGAATTGCCCAATTCAAATTCAAATGTTTATTACAAATAACTAGTTTTAATATCAGAAAAAAGGATATATTTGCTTGCACAATTCGAATTGAAATCACTTTTACCAAATAAACTAATTTAAATTGTATAAAATGTGCGATCTGTTGAGTTGTGTGTGTGAACTTATATATAACTTACATCTAACTAAGTATATCCTGTTGGGGAAATGGTGCATATATATGTACAAGGAGAAACCTTCCGTCTGTTTAAAATCGAACATCACAGCACTGACATTGGGCTAAAACTAGGGAGTAAGATTCATCAGCAGGCTGCCGCTTCAAGTCAGACTCAGGCGTAGCAGCGCTTGCGTAAGCTTATGTACATTATCACTCGGAAGAAGAGCATCAGCATGGCCAGAATGCCAAACTGATGGAGTATGGAAACCTTCTCCACGTCGAGAAACTTGAGCAACACACGCGGATCGCTAAAGTGGCAGTATATGTCATCACAGTCCAGCTCCTCTCGCTGAAAACCGAACACAGCCAAGACCAGGGCCACCACGCCCACACGGACATAGCTGAACTTCATCAGCAGCTGCATGCCGCCCGTGATCTGCGGGGCAAAATCGAAACCATATACCGCCAGGCCCATGAGCGGGGCAATAATCATAGGACCCACCACGCTGCCGTTCTATAGGAAGAATTGGAAAACATTAGAGAAGAATTTCTTGGAGAACTATATTCTAAACTCACCGTTATGCTGAAAGTAGCACCTATGGCCAGGCCCATGCCCTCGGCCACCAGGGAGATCATTAATCCAACGGCCACAAAGATGCCAAAGCGCCAGAATTGCTCTGGTAAACCGGACATCCAATAGGTAACCGCCATGAAGGTGATGTTCAGCAGCACCTGGAGTGGCAGACGCGATACTGTCAAGGCCATATAGTAGGGTGTCAGAGTATACCAGCGATTAAAGGTCTCCTTCTTGACCACCTTCACCTCAGCGGGATCTATTAATAAAGAGTTGGTAAAACAAATGCTGGAAGAGAGGAAATCAATGTTACTTACAGCTCAGAATGGGCACCATCACCTGGGTGTACACGATCATAAGAACAGCTCCGATGCAGAATTTAAGGTGATCGAACATGCGCGCTCCCTGATTCCCCAGCTGGAAGAAGATCAGGCCAAAGAATAACCCACAAAGCAGGTGGTGGAACAATTGAATGGTAAGAGCCAGTCGGGCACGCGTTATTCGCAGCAGCATGACTCGCATGAGAACCACAAACTGTCGCAGCCCAGAGATCTCGCGTCGATCCGTGTGCAGCCGCCTGGAAAGGGCCTTCATCTGTTCGAACAGGGCACTGGTTCCGCCAATCAACGAACCATCCGTAGAGGCAGCACTTCCAGCAAAGAAGGTGGGCAGAAACGGACGCTTTGGTTGCTCTACGAACATTGTGGTGACCGCCTGCTGGGACTCCAGCGTACCATCTAACTGGTCCGAACGACTGGCCACATAGATCAACTTGCCGTTGTCGGTTAGCTCGCTGAGAGCCGGCACTAGGTGACCATCCTCAGCGTCCACCAGCTCGATAACTGTGAAGGAAGGATAGGATTTAATTAAAATTCCACATTATTAATTATTTTACTCACTATAATCGGAGGGACTGTAGTGCCGCGGACAGTCGAGCTGAGCCAGGCGCAAGAAGGGAATAGTGGCTCGAGGGCTGCCCTGGTAGACGCAATGGCCCTTGGCCAAGACGTAGATGCTGTCAAAATAATTGTATATCGTCGCCGATGGCTGATGGATGGTGCAGACAATGGTGCGTCCCTCATGAGCCATGGATTTCAGCAGGCGGATGCACTGGGCCGCTGTCACCTCATCCAAACCACTGGTTGGTTCATCCAAAAAGAAGATATTTGGATTATCAACCAGCTCCAGGGCAATGGACAAACGCTTGCGCTCGCCGCCACTAAGCTTTTCAGCAGTCACATTACGCCGGTGATTTAAATGTAAATTCTCCAGGATCTCTGTGAGGATCTCTGCTTTCTTATGCCTATGCTTTAGCTTAAGATCGCAGGCGAGATTCATGAGTTCCTCCACGGTCAGCAGGGTCTGATGATGGTCATCTTGGGTGATATAGCAGGCATTATCTCTGTGCATCTTAATGCTACCAGTGACGCCGTCACGTCTGAAAGGAGGAAAGGGATTAAATTAGAAGAGGTTTTAATCAAGGAGGGTTTTAGAAATATTTATTCAAGAAGCAGCTATTGTAAACTTCAACTTGAAGTTGATAGAACCTTGTTTTAAAGTAATGTTCTTTAATAAATTTCAATGAAATGTCTGTTAATGATTACCAAACGTAATTAGCAGCATCATGACTCTTCCACTCAAGATTTATTAGCTCTGTGACTGAGCAGGTTTTTGCATTTCTATTTAAGTTTTTTTCACAAATCTTTATTGAGGAAGCTTCAGCTTCAAGCGCACGTCAGTCATTTTTGTTTCCAAGGCGATGGTTGTTCTGAGAGGTTGTCCTACCTGTCGAACCCTGCAGAACCCATTTGACATTTTGCATTTAAGTCTGGCTGGCTGGCTGCTGGCCGAATCAAGTCAGAAAGAACATGGCTTTAATCACCAGTTGACTAAGCATAGAACCGGTTCACGGATTCGGCGGTGGTAATCAAATTATATACCAAGTATTGCAACAGCGGCGCCTTGGCTTTGTTACACTTCAATCCCGATGACGTCCCGCACATAATGCCGTCGAATGCAGTCCGTCCAGTTTGGTTTTGTTTTTGTTTTTAGCTTATTGTTCTCACCTGAAACCCGAAATCGCATTTAGCAAACTGCTTTTTCCGGCTCCCGAGGGTCCCATGATGGCCGAGAGTTGTCCGTTCCGGAAACTTCCGCTGACTCCGTTTAGAATTTGGCGCTCCCTGGTCACGCGCCCTGCAAAATATATTGCGCCATAGGTATTATTAAATTAAATAATTCTATATTTTATAATTAATATATTCCTAAGGGACATTATAATAAAAAGCAAGAATAACAAAAGATTCTTGTAACTAATATCTTGATTTCAATAACAATCTTCTCAATTTTTATGAAATATTTATTTACTTGATAGACCCTATCGCAAAGGGTTTCCCATTAAAAAACAGAAGCGTAGAATATGCTAAAGATATATAAACAAAAACACAATCGAAAGTACAAGTGAATCATAAAAAAAAACACAACCAGCTGGAAATAATATATTCCGCCGATTACGTAGGAAAGTTAACATTTTCGGACTGGTTGGTCTAGTCTGCTGAGCTGAGCGGCTAATAAAGTAGAACATTAAACAAATATACATAAATGCGGTATGAAATAAATTAAATAAATCTAGTTTCATTATTAAAAACACCAGATTTTGGGAACGGAAAAACGTTATTCACATTCATTGATTTTGGGGATTAGATTTGGTAGATATATAGTGACAGGTCTGGGAACGATCCATGTCGAATATGTCATGTCATGGGCTGGCAGCGGAAAGATTCCAAAGGTGACAATTGATGGGTCTGAAGCGATTGCATGACTGAGCAAAAATGAAACCAGCTTCCGCCCTGTCTGCCAGTCGAATTACCTGAGAATTCCTCGCCGTCTATTCTGGGTCTGCGCACGTCTATAATGTAAGCCAATTAAAATTCGGCACGATTGTGGAAAAATTCAAAATCAAGGAGAATTAAACATGATTTTAAAATTAAATTATAATAAGAACAATTACAATTACAAGGAATTTCCCTATTTGTGCAAATAAGTACGAACCTGACCTGCATTCACCGCCAATTGTCAGTATCAATCTGTGCTAAATTATGTCAATGTCGCTCTTATCAGCTATACTACAGCTGCATAACTCCGAAGGTCCATTCCTTATAGATCAGTCTTTAATTGATTTCTGCTCAGAGCTTCACTTAATCCAATTAATTGCAATGGTTAGAGCTACAAGATGAACCATCTAGCTTTATTACTACTATTAATTTTTTTAATAAATTATTGATTCTTTATATAAATAGTAAAAATAATGTCATGTGGTTTAGCTTGTAGCTTCGAAGATAATTTAAATTTTCAATATAATTTCGTAGATGGTAAAATCAATGGAAGTGGGTTATCATTAAGTTCAATTCCTATACATGTCTGGTTTTCAATGTCAATGTCCATCTGTGTCTTCAAACAGATTATAAGTAATATGTATTATCAGGTTTGTTTTACAATTTGAAATACAATTTGATTAGCTAACTAATGAACCGGATTTACAATTTAATTCAATTAATAATAGAAAAAAAAACATATATATAAAATAAAACCAAAGGCTTAAAGTTAATCAAAAGTAGTATTTAAATTGAAGCTCAAATAATAGTATATTTAATGATGTAAATGATCATTTTACCAGCTGATTTTAATAACAGATATTCTTAAATAGTTTCCCTGAATTTTAATTCCCATTTCATAACATTGTAATAACAATATGACAATTAATTAACTTCCTTAACAATCTTGCTTGTCAATATCTGACCCAGTTGTAACCGTACACCCGTAATTTCTCGAGTATCAGTAATTAAAATTCATGGCGCAACTGAATCGCGGTTCGCGAACCAATTTCAGAAGGTCACTGACAAACGGAGACCAGTCGGAGTCCGATGCAATTCCTATTATAAGCGTGTGGTTCGCCACCGGTCTGCCCAGTTTACATATCAATTAGCTGCCGGCTCCAAAGTTTTCTCTGTGATCACTACCACGTTCTGAGCACGCGCAGCTGCCAAAAAAACTAATTGTCAGCAAAACAATCGAACCAACAGAAGCACGTTGGCCTGGCCTGCGGTTATCGAACTGCTTCCCCCTCACTCCAAAAAACAAATAAATAAAACTGTGGACTTGTGGACCGCAGCTCCCACGGGTGTACGTGAGTCACATAATGAGGCGTGATAGCTTGTTGCCGGGAGCAGAGACTTTCCGGAGATAGTGGGGGAAACGGACAGTAAGTATCAAAGATCAATAAGTACCTATGATCAGTAAGCATCAATGAATATTGGGTAACTATGAAAAGTAGGTAAATATGATTAGTTAATAACTCTCAGCAGTAAGTATCAATGGCCAGTAAGTAACTATGATCATCAAGTATATATGACCAGTAAGTAACTATGATCAGTTATTAACTTTGAACGCTAATAAACAATGACTTGCAACTTTTGTAACACAACACATTTCTGAGACTTGGCCTGCAGAAGTCACTTCGTTCCGGGGATGTTTGAACCAGTTGAGAATCATAAGCTCAGATGCGCGAGATTTGTTTTGGAACAAATTTAAGCTATTTGAACGAAACTATGGAGTTATTCTTCTATATAATTTAACTAGTATATACGTTGGAGCATGGCGAATCGGTGGACTATATATACACATATATAGCTACTATAGGAACGATCGAAAAATTGACTAGGAGCAGAAATTAAGTATAGGCACTAAGTAACTCTAAACAGTAAGTATTTATGGCCAGTGAGTAACAACGATCAGTAAGTATCTATGACCAGTAATTAAGTATGACCAGTAAGTAACTCTGAACAGTAAGTATCTATGACCACTAAGTGCGTATGATAAGTTATTAACTTTGAACACTAATAAACAATGACTTGCAACTTTTGTACCACAACACATTTCTGAGGCTTGGCCTGCAGCAGTCACTTCCTTCCGGGGATGTTTGAACCAGTTGAGAATCATAAGCTCAGATGCGCGAGATTTGTTTTGGAACAAATTTAAGCTATTTGAACGAAACTATGGAGTTATTCTTCTATATAATTTAACTAGTATATACGTTGGAGCATGGCGAATCGGTGGACTATATATACACATATATAGCTACTATAGGAACGATCGAAAAATTGACTAGGAGCAGAAATTAAGTATAGGCACTAAGTAACTCCAAACTGTAAGTATCTATGGCCAGTGAGTAACAACGATCAGTAAGTATCTATGACAAGTAATTAAGTATGACCAGTAAGTAACTCTGAACAGTAAGTATCTATGACCACTATGTGCGTATGATCAGTTATTAACTTTGAACACTAATAAACAATGACTTGCAACTTTTGTACCACAACACATTTCTGAGGCTTGGCCTGCAGCAGTCACTTCGTTCCGGGGATGTTTGAACCAGTTGAGAATCATAAGCTCAGATGCGCGAGATTTGTTTTGGAACAAATTTAAGCTATTTGAACGAAACTATGGAGTTATTCTTCTATATAATTTAACTAGTATATACGTTGGAGCATGGCGAATCGGTGGACTATATATACACATATATAGCTGCCATAGGAACGATCGAAAAATTAACTATGAGCAGTAATTAAGTATGAGCAGTAAGTAACTCCAAACCGTAAGTATCTATGGCCAGTGAGTTACAACGATCAGTAAGTATCTATGAGAAGTAATTAAGTATGACCAGTAAGTAACTCTGAACAGTAAGTATCTATGACCACTAAGTGCGTATGATCAGTTATTAACTTTGAACACTAATAAACAATGACTTGCAACTTTTGTACCACAACACATTTCTGAGGCTTGGCCTGCAGCAGTCACTTCGTTCCGGGGATGTTTGAACCAGTTGAGAATCATAAGCTCAGATGCGCGAGATTTGTTTTGGAACAAATTTAAGCTATTTGAACGAAACTATTGAGTTATTCTTCTATATAATTTAACTTGTATATACGTTGGAGCATGGCGAATCGGTGGACTATATATACACATATATAGCTGCCATAGGAACGATCGGAAAATTAACTATGAGCAGTAATTAAGTATGAGCAGTAAGTAACTCCAAACCGTAAGTATCTATGGCCAGTGAGTAACAACGATCAGTAAGTATCTATGAGAAGTAATTAAGTATGACCAGTAAGTAACTCTGAACAGTAAGTATCTATGACCACTAAGTGCGTATGATCAGTTATTAACTTTGAACACTAATAAACAATGACTTGCAACTTTTGTACCACAACACATTTCTGAGGCTTGGTCTGCAGCAGTCACTTCGTTCCGGGGATGTTTGAACCAGTTGAGAATCATAAGCTGAGATGCGCGAGATTTGTTTTGGAACAAATTTAAGCTATTTGAACGAAACTATTGAGTTATTCTTCTAAATAATTTTGCCACTATATTTGTCGAAGCAAGGCGAATCGCTGGTCTATATATACACATATATGTATAGCTGCCATAGGAACGATCGAAAAATTGACTAGGAGCAGTAATTAAGTATAAGCACTAAGTAACTCTAAACAGTAAGTATCTATGACCAGTGAGTAACAACGATCAGTAAGTATCTATGATCAGTAAGTAACTCTGAACAGTAAGTATCTATGACCAGTAAGTAACTATGATCATTAAGTATCTAAGACCACTAAGTGTGTATGATCAGTTATTAACTTTGAACACTAATAAACAATGACTTGCAACTTTTCTAACACAACACATTTCTGGGACTTGGTCTGCAGCAGTCACTTCGTTCCGGGGATGTTTGAACCAGTTGAGAATCATAAGCTCAGATGTGCGACATTTGTTTGGGAACAAATTTAAGCTATTTGAAGGAAACTGTTGAGTTATTCTTCTATATAATTTTACTAGTATATAAGTCGTAGCATGGCGAATCGGTGGACTATATATACACATATATAGCTGCCATAGGAACGATCGGAAAATTGACTATGAGCAGTGTGAGGAAATTATAATACCTGGCGAGGGTATAATTAGCAAAAACTAAGTGTTACTGTTTCTTTAAAGGAGTGCTGAGATCCGTACACTTTAGGTTTGCATCTAAAAAAATCATTCTTTAAAAGCAGCAGCTTCTATTTCTCAACCATATAACTAAGTATTTAGAAGGTTTCATTACTAATCAGAACCCTTGAAATGAAATCATCCACCTGAAACCCCATTATCCAGCATCTGCTATAAATTCCCGCAGTAAACTTTAATTAAAATTACAGATTTCTATTTTAGGCCATAAATGAAACTACGCCTCCGAGAAATAGAAATTGAGATTTCTCTAATTGGCTGAACAAATCTCTGGATCTTAGCCAGCTTAGATCGAAGCCACAATTCGGTTGCTAATTGCTGCAAGTGACTCATTCTAACCAATTAACATGATTTCATTAGCATGTCAAAAGCGAAGCGGTAATGCCAAAATTACGATTTAAAATTAAAGTGCAACCTGCATGCTAAATAATAGAAATGGAATTTACTCTAATCCCCAGGTCTGTGATCTTTGGCCTCCTCTCAGACTCGCCTCACCCATCACCATTCGATTCAACACAACCTAATAGCTCTCAGATGATTGATCAAAGGGCTATAACATCTATCACTAACTATATTTCAAGTACTACATACATCTATAAAGGGAGTATAATTTCGTTTAATTAGCATTTCCAAAGATCTCGTGGATAGCCTGGTTAAACCCGGACATTGACTGACAACTGACGCCTCCAGGGAAATTGGAATGGAAAAGCGGGAGCGCGCGCGCGTTGTCGCGGAACAGAGAAAAATAAAAACGTGTCCAGGCCGCGGCGACGACGACTTTTCGGAGGGGAAAATTATTCAATCAATGTTGGGCAATTTTCGCTTTTCTCTGTGCGCCAACATAATATTGCTGTTTTGTGGCTGCAATTGTTGCTATAGCTGCTGCTAGTGCCGATCATGATGATGATGATGATGAGGTTGCCCATGTATTTTTTGTCGCTGCCTTTATTCAGCCAACTAACTACTGTAGTTTCCATTGATGCGGGGTACATCGAGGAAGTCGCAATGTATATACATATGTCTGTTTGCAGCGAGATATTCATGTGTTTGTGTACTCAAAATATTAAGCGCACATACTACTGATTTCTATGTACACATTAATTTGTACAGTGCGTTTCAAAAGTGGTGATTTTCAAGTCAATATTGACCTGACATGAATCGAATGAGTACGTCAACCTCAACTTTGGACTTCCAATGAATTCCCAGAAGTTATCTAACGGATAGTTTGTACTATTCAATCATTTGAGTTTGCTTCAGCTTTATGTTCATGGAAAGCATCGTTTTGTGTGCATTATTCTCATGTTTATCGCTCACTAGATTATTCCACATGACAACCACAGTTGGCGACATCTCGCTGCTAGTTGCACGTTGCACATGGCGTATGAGCAATAATTAATCATCAGTCGTACTTCAGATTGACTTTGCCTCGGACTCTGCATTCAGGAAGCTCAACTTCACAGAAATTCAGCTATTGGTGAATGGTTTTGAAGGAATTTCCCCTTCTACCTGCAAAATACAGCCAATTAAACAAACTGAGGGATGGCGTAACACCTCTCCATGGCAGCTACTCTCGGTGACTGATGGCTCATATGCGATTTATTGAAAAGGCACGACTATGTTTTCAAGGGCATATCCGGACACATAGATTGTTTATAACGGAGATTACTTCCTAGAATAATATATTTCTGGCTAATAAAATATGTATAAATAAAGTTAGGGGCAAGTCGTGACAAATTGTTAGTAAATAAAGTCTATCAAGAAGAGTGTCTGGAAGAAAGTGGCTTTTAAAGTTAGTTAGTATATAATAAAATATCTAAACTAAATCTATTAGGTTCTAAATATTTTTATAGGGAAAAACCCGTCAAAGCTACAATCATACAATAATTGATTTACAGGCTTGAACTGTTTTATTATTAAAATAATACAAGTTCATTTAATAGCGTAACTAAATTATATATCAGCTTTAACAGGTTTATAAAATCAATTTAATTGTACTTAATTTCAGTTCTAACTTTTAAACCACTTTGTAGTTAGTTTAATTGATACTCTCAACGGCTTTCTAGCAGAACGAACTTGATGCCCTGCCACTTGCATTACATTATCCAATATAATTTCAATTGCCCTTTGCAATTCCGTTCGATTCTGTGTCAATGGTATCCCCGGCCGGAGACCAGGAGACTTCAAACCGGTCTGACCATCTCCGGCCGTATTTGAGCTTGAACTTTTGCCAAAAAAAACAAGGCCCAAAACAGGGGAAAACCCGTTTGACACCATAACCAAGCACCCTAAGAACGTAACTACTTTGCAGTCAAGTGTGTCAAACTTCATTTAAAACCTTAACAAATAATGTAACAAGTTAAGCAATTGACATTAGAAATAAAACCCGAAAAAAAAGGCCAAAAAGAGCGCAAAAAAGCTTGACCCTATAATTATGGAGCAGTTAGCGCTTGGCCAGCCAGCTACTTGGCCATTACACGACTATGAAAATATTGCACAGAGCCACACATCACACCGAATACCATGCCAAAGTCAACTATGATATATATTCGAGTGCAAACAAAAACCTTTGCAAGCGAAAAAACACTTGACTGGCGTCTTCTTTGCACATATTATGCCACAGAGCTATGAAGGATTTTGATGTGTTTAACACATATTATAACATTTTTTATATTTTTAAATGAGCATTAGCACATTTAGCTAAGGTTTCCTAGGAGACCTTAACTAATAACTGAATAAAAAAATATAGTAAAATAAAATGTGTAACGCTCAGTCCTACAAACGTTTTTCAAAACTAACTTTATTGGCAAAAAGCAGACTCTTTAAATGCTGTAATTGTTAATTTTTAAGCACCGCAAAAAAAAAAACGTAAGTATTCGAAGAAATATTAAACATATTCATGTATTTTCCTAACAATAGGTTACCAAAGTTCCCTTTTCTAAAAATATATAAAATGAGTTTTATCTCCCAACTAAAAATCTAACTTATTAATATTTTAAGAATAAGAATTCATCAACTTACAGAAATTCTTTCGCTCCTTGACGGTGTAGAAAACATCTTGAAACTCGACATCTTTGGACTGCTTGGTGAGCAGATTTCGCGACTGCTCCATGGCGATGGATGATGTTTCTGCTGATTATTATTTAATGCCGCTTTTTAAAAACACATATATTATAATATTGTATATGGGCGTCGCGGGTGGTACAAGGCGGGGCCCCTGCTGATGGATTCAGATACTTATGCCCGTTCGCATCTAGATACGTGCGGCGATTGCCGAATGTGTCATTACCTACCGCACCAAAGTCGGAATTGGAATGGGAATGGGTGCTGCGGCGGGATTTCTTGCTGGCGCGGTTATTTTCACTCTGTATGTTTTGTATACTTTTATTTATTTATTTTTTTGTACTTCTGTCAGTAGTGCGATTATTATGACTGTGTGTTCTGCTTTTATTCCATTTATGCACGCTTGGTCGTGTGATTGCAGATTTATTGCCAGTTTTGTTTTGATCGGAGCACTGCTGCTGCCTGATTCTTTGCCGTAGATTACGCGCTGCAAATAAAAATTAATCATTATAGATTTCGACATGTATAGGAAGAGGAGGAATAAGCATGAAGTACACACAATTTATCAAAAATTGTGGCCCGACCTTGAATTCCACACCTCAATGGAAGGTCACCTGATAAAGGGTTTGCCTCTGTGTTTGCGCAATTGTTCTTAATAAAAAATTTGAGTCGTGGAAAGTATCACCAAAATTAGTCATCAAATGTGTTTAGCCGGGGAGATTCTTTCACTAACTGAATTTTAAACAAATAGAATGTTATGGTAATACAAAATAAATACAACTAATAGATTTTTAATAAGCCTTCAAGTATTTTGAATAAAATATACATAAAGTATATGGGTTTAGAGATATAGTAAATATTTCTAATGGATAAACAGGTCGTGTCTTAATTAAATCTAGTAATTTTTTAACTAATGGATATTTAATGACTCAAATTATGTGCATATATCAATCAGATACCCATAAAATAGATAATTTATTTATATTTATATTATATATATATTATATATATTATATTTATACAATGTAAAACTTGTGTTTAAAAGGAAATCACTTTACAAATCTAAACTAATCCAAATGTCATTAGATACGTTTAAGAATCTGCTTATTTCCAGATACTCAAGTGATTATATAAATACAGCAATTAATATGCACTTTATAATCGCGATGAAATTAGTTCAAAATCTAAAGGGAATTTCTTTAATTAGCAACCCTTCAACACCGTAAGTGCTTAAGTTTTTAAGCTCTGTATATTCTATAATTTAAATGGAGTCTTTATTGCTGACAGACTGACAAACAAATCACGATCTTTGAATAAACTAGGATGTAATGGCTGTTGCAATTTTCTTATCGCGCAAGGGAAGGGGTTTAATTCAAATAATTAGAAGCTTATTAACTTGATTGCTAATACCTCAACTACTGTATTCCATTCAAAGATTTTCAACATTTACTTACTAGTGTGATTTATTGAATTCTATCAGCACTACACTAAGTAATCCCTCTTAATGACATGCTAATAAATATTTATTAAAAATTGTCAACAACCTAATGGCCTGATCCTTAATGTAGTGTAAACAGGCTTTAAAAGCTTTAGAATTCTTTTGGTTTTCAGACCAAATTTGTGTCTTATTTACTTTTATTAATGTTCTTGGCGCCAGAGCCCATCAACCTGGAGCCAGCAAATGAGAAACCCGTTCTGGTTTCTGGAAAGAAACCTCTCAAGTCCGAAATCTACTTCTAAAACCAGGAATAACTCTGCATCCTAGGGCTTGAGTCACTTCTTTGCAACAAGGAAATAAACATTGTGTTGATACTAGTTTGGCTAATTGAAAGCTTAAATATAGTGGCTCTTCACTAAGCTCGGCAACTTATGCTAATTACATGTCGGCTGTCAGATTTATTTTCTGTTCTAGGCACTAGTCCGTGACGTCAGGTGGCAACCGAGGCATTTGGCAAGAGTCTTGACCCCCGACAACTTGCTTAGCATACCGATGAATTAGCTAATACAAAGAGTTGCTGATAAAGAAGAAATAAAATCATTCCAGCAAATCGATATCATTCTTCAATTTCTGACAGTTAACAAATCATTAAAATTTGCCAAAATATTTTTTTTAAAACAAATACAAGCTAGCAAACCACAAAAATACCCGATTTTAATAAGCATTTAAAAATTAAATGGTTAGATTTGAGTATTTTTAGTCAAAAAGTACCAACGAAATTATAATAAATTATAGAAATTATCTTATCTAACTAATTTGTTTGACTTTTCTGAGAAGTAAACAAATTATTCATATAAAAAATATACAAATGTGTATATTATTCAAAATATTGAATAAATTCGCATATCAACCAAATTTGATTGCAAATAATTTTGCCAACTGAGGGCAATGCATTATAAATCACTTTTCCATTATTGTTAAATTCAAATCACATCACTTTTTGGTGACTTCTATAGAATAAAATGCTTTCCAAAAAACAAAGGAAAAAGTTGGTATATCCTTATTTTAATTTAATTACTCCCTTAAGTCGTAGGTCAATAATGGAAATAATGAAAAGTGGAATAATTAAGTTAGCAGTTTGTAACTGATTTAAACTTCATTGAACAGTTCACAATGATGAGCATTTAGTAATGAAAGTTTAACGAGCGACACGCTCTCATTTAATTGGTATTAACTACACGAGACCTTAAACCTGAATTATTTCAGCTTTTTTAATATTTATATATAGTATTTATTTTATTTATCGTAACAGCTTGGACTGGAATGGTAAGGGACCTTGAATAAGTCACACAAAGTTCTGTTTTTTGCACACTGTCCTGGATACTGACACATTACACTGTCAAAATGTTTTCTAATTTTGTTCTAATTTAAATTTAACTGCTTACTAAGAAAAAAACATATCATAATCCGCTTTAAAATGTTCTCTCCCACATCCCCTAGTCACTGAAATGCATGTTTTTCACAAGCTTTTAAGATAAGGTACTCAAGTCGGAATTCTTTCTAGCGATAATCCACAAATAACAACACCCACTGAACACACACACACAATATCCTCTATGCACACACATGACTATTGCTGCACATTAGATAGATTATGGAACTTTTTGAATTTACAGCAAGCACTTGTACATTTTGTGGCATTGTTGCACATCCCACGGACAATACAAAGGCGATGGCGACTCTCCTTTGTGGCCAAAGGCCAAACAAAACAAAGGGCAGCACACAGAAACCTCAAAAAGTTTCCCTCAAGTTTCCAAGAATTGATTGGATTGGCATATGCATTCCAGATTATCTTGATAGCATTGATTATTTCTAGTGCACTTCTCTTACATTGGTGTTCTTCGGTTTATGTTTTCAATTATTTCCCGGCGACGAGGATAAGGCGACGCGAACTTTACTTTACAAAGAAGTGCTGGCGAAAAGCGCGTCCACAGTCGGCGGCGGTGTGAAATCAACTGACCGCACGGGTCCGCAGAATAAACTCGCAGCTCAACGGGTTCGGATTCGGTTTTGAGTTCGGTTTCGGGTTCCCCAAACTGAAATCGGTTGGGTTCGGTGTGAAGCTCATTAAGGATCTTGAGTCTGCATTTTTAGTAGACAAGCTTAATAAAAAAATATTTGTGGTCGTATTTAGTGAGCTTAATGGAAATAGACTCTGATTTTCAGAATATATTAAAAGGTTTTCGATTCATTACATTAAATCATATTTCTCTATTATTGTAAACTAAAGAAAATAAATATTATCTGTTATTAAAAGTTAAGGGGGTTTGTAAATTATTCATTATGAAGCTAAATTTTATAAATTATTTGAGGTATCCCAAAAAAAATTATATAGGAGGACCAAATATCCAAAAAATCTACTCATAATGAAATGTTAATAATGAATAAATTATGAAAATTGGTATACCTTTTTGTTTGCTTAGAAAAAACTGCTATATTGCAAATAATATAATTTTATAGATACAACCCAACCATTGACATTAATATATAATCCAAAAAGCTACTGCCCTATATATATTTTTAAATTGGCGCCCTTAATACTTATCGATAAATCAGAGCTTTTTAAGGAATCCCAAAAAATTTAAAATCAAACATACCAAGGCTTTAAAAAATACCGCAAGCTTTCACACTTTCCAGCACTGGCTAAAAAAATTCAAAAGTTTAAGTTACAAAAAACAAAAGACAATTTTAAGGTGAAATTTACCTTCGTTTAAAACTGCTCCGTGTGGGCCCCATTTCTTGATTTTGATTAATTTCGGTCTTGGGATTGAGAGCATCAAATAACTTTATTGGCAATTCGCTTTGGCGAATCAGTTTCTTGTCACTTCACCAGGTGAGAGGACAGCCTTGCGTGGATGGTACCCTTGGATGGTGCCAAAGTTCATCGTTAATGTGTGTGTGTGTATGTGTATATATAAAAATAATCACTAAAATACAATTCTCGTGCGGCTCGAGACGTCTTGACTAGGAGGTGAGGAGGAGCTTTGTTTTGTGGAAGGAACCTTCACTACACTAGCGCATTGGATGCTACTATGATATCTGGCAGCATTGCGCCCTTCTAGCCATGTTCTGGCTCTCCCAATGTGTCTGGAAATATATAGATGAGAGATGGTGAGTGATGCGGCAGGACTGCATGAAATAATAGTTAAGAGAGAGAGATTCTAGGCTGAGAGGAACCGGTTTGTGTTTATTGCCATTGGTTTAACAAGTGAAGGATGCAAGGTTTTAGCTCTGTTGGCCATTGGGGCCGGCCGTTGCCTCTACAGGTGATTGTTTTTCTGTTGCTGTGCGAAATAAAAAATAAGAAACGAAGATTCGAATCAAAATGGGTCGAAATCAAAAGGTAATCGGTTAAAACAATGAACAAATCAAATGGTTTTAGTAGTGTTTCGTCCCGCAAAGTACACATCTGAAATATATAGTTGTGTTTAAGGGGGAGTTCGATCGAATTTAGTTGGCAGCTCCCAGCAATTTTGTTTATTTTATATTGGTTGGATTATATAGCTTTATTAATTTTCAATTAAAATACGAACAAGTCCCAAATAAGTAAACCGAAATAATTAAGCAGCGAACAGCGAATTATCAAATTGAGTTCCGTTCTACACACTGAAATGTCGAGCTGGCAAATTTACCTCGCAAATTGCTTTAGTTTTCTTGAATTTGGCATTTAATTAAGTATATAGCTACGTGTGTGTATAATTGATTGCTTTTCGAATTGATTTTCAGTGATAATTTCCATAATTGGGCTACGAGAGAGCGTAATAACTTGCATGATTCCCAGTGACCAGTGCCTCTCTTCGCTTACTGCGCTTTGAATTTAGTTTTCATTGAATATGCACGCTTTAACTATGTTCGGCTGCTCCATTTATCGTGGTCGTTGGAATGCAACGGGTGCAGGGTCGGGGTTGGGTTCGGGGGTTTTCGTACGTTCTAAGAGTGCTATAGAAATTAGTTTACCCATTTACTGATTATGTCCTGAAACCGAGAAGAGCAGAGAAAGTGTTATGAAGTTCTTTAGCGTTGCCATTGTCTGGTTAATTCTTAAACTCAGTGCGCGACGAACTCACCTTGACGTCGTCCATCTCATCGTCCGATGACGAATGCGAAAGTCCATTGTACGTCTTGAATGTCACATTCTTCATGAACGACTTGAGCATGCTGGCGCTCAGCTGACCGAACTTGTACGGCACCACGGGATCGTAGTCGCCGTGCGCCTGGAATATCGGCACATCATCGCTGTTCACCTTGGCACCGGGGAACTGCTTGTGCAGCGGCAGCCAACAGGATAATGCCACCACGCCGGCCAGCGGCTGGTCGTACGTCAGCGCCGAGTACAGCGCCAGAGCTCCTCCCTGCGAGAATCCGCCCAAAACAATCCTGTTCGCTGGTATACCAGCCGAAACCTCCTTATGTATCAATCCGTGCACATTGTCGCGTGCAGTCTGAATGCCCGGCTCATCCTCCGGTCCACCAATGTCGAGGGTCTTCAGATCGAACCACGACGGCATTCGGAAGCCGGCGTTCAGCGAAACGGGCTGTGTGGGCGCCGTGGGGCAGATGACCTTCATAAAGGGTGGTCGGATGGCAGCCAGGGCGCTGCTCCAGCCATGACTGCAAAGGAAAATAACCAGATAATTATTTATAGCCTGAGAATTATACAGTGGCGGGCAACATAATAGCTTTAGCTTAAAAGAACTCGGAATACTTATAGGATTATTAATTTTCGAAGGCAAGAAGCACTGATTTCAAATGTGTATCAAAATAAAATGTGTAAATTAAGCTTGATTCTTAATTAACAATGTAATACGAATTTTAAAGTATTAAATTGAAATACAAATTTAATTAATTTTCTGAAGTAGCTATTATTTTGGCCGCATCTGTTGCTGTTCTGACCCCACTTACCCCGTATCACCAAGGCCATGCATGAAAATCAGCTGGAACGGAAAATTTTGAATATTTAAAGCCCAATTCCTTTAAAGGCATTCTCCTCTCCGGCAGAACACTCACCGTGGCGGTCTGCTTGACCGTGGCCTCGATAATGACCGGCGCAGACATGTCTACGGTTTAGCCTCTACTGCGGGCGGTGTAGGTAGTATTCAGGTATCCAGGTGCACTCTTCGGCGACTCGGCGCTTCTTCCGTCGCTTTCTGCTGTGTCAGCGGATTTCTGCAAGGAGAGGGCAAGGGGTAAGCACACACAGTTAAGTTCGCGCGGGCTGGAGACGCGATTTAGTTATGTCACGTTGTAAACGCAAAGCAAAATTAGTAATATTGATTTTACGATAGCAAAGCTACAAAGCGCAGCCGGCTGAGGCAAGGCGCCGCTAGGTGAGCACGGTCAGGTGGCTGACAAATGAGTGTCGAGCTGCCGGGGTGTATACGGTTCCCACCTACACACCTACCAGGTAATCCAAAATGTTTCGTGTTAATTTATTAAATTTTTAGTGAAAAGTGCGAATAGGAGAAACAGTAGAGGTGGCAAAACATTGATATCGATAACACTGATTTATCGCACTATCAGTTGCTTAAAGACTATCGCGATAGTTATTCAGAAAGTTTTTAAAAATAAGGCAATATTTGTTATGGTTTAAAATTTAATTTAATGTTAAAAATTCCTACAGGGAAATGAGCGGTGGAAATGGGTTCTGTTTGGACACGACCAGCTTGTTGTGGGCGTGGGAGATGTATCCCTTGATCTTGCCGTCGTAGATGAGATTGGCGATGATGCAGTGTGCCTCGTTCAGGGACACATCCGTCACCCCCACAAACTGCAGGGCTGCGAGGAAGTCATCCATGTCCAGCTGGTGGGTCTGCCGGATGATGAACACCTTCTTGAACAAATTCCGATACACCATGAACTTGAGTTTCTGCACCAGCAGATATATGCCGCTGCGGATCAGGACCAGCTCGTGGTCGCGAACGATCTCGTCAAATCGCTTCACATTGCCAACCCTCAGGGCCAGCGCCAGGTCATGGAACAGCAGAAGATCATATCGCTGGAGGAGGGACTTGGCTGGCAGGTAGCCGAGCAGCATCTTCGCCGGCACCAAATAGATGAGTATCAGCCGCTTGTTGCTCGCAAAGCGGTCCGGGCAGTTGTTAAATGCGAAAGATAGATCCTCCACGGCTCCTTGGTAGTTGGAATCGAACATGGCTCGGCGGCCCACAAAGTATTTGTAGGTGATCTGCTCCGGCAGTGGAAACGAGTCCTTGAAGACGCAGTTGTCAATGGCACGAATTAGCGGCTTGCACAGGTGCAGCTTGTTGATGCGAAAGTAGACCTTGAAGAGCTGATTTATCAGGTTCATCATGCCCAGACGCTTCGTGTCCTCCTCGGAGGCACGTCCGTCGGCGGCGCACACGCGAAAGCAGGCCATCATGCAGTCGGCAGCCTTCTCCAGCACATGACCAGGATTGAACCCTCGGCAGCGCTTCTCGCAGGCCTGCGCCAGGTATCTGAGGTCCAGGCACACGCGGTACATCAGGGGCAGGCACCAGTTTTCATCCTTCAGCTGCTGCAGCAGACGCACCACTGCCCCGCAGGCTGCCGCTTGTTGTGTGTACGCCTCCATGTAGTTAGGTGGCTCCTGGGCAAGATGGTAAAGCACCTTCAGGTGAGCGGAAACCACATCGTCTATTGGCGGCTTCAGGAATCGCTCCACCAATTTCTCCGGCTGGGCGATGTACAGGTTGTGATTCTGCACGTGCACATCACGCAGAGATATGTGGGTGCCCAGGGACTCGCCATCGTAGTCATCGGTGGCGCTCAGCACGCTGGATAAATAATTATTTACGGTTCCAAACATTTGTTACACAGCCGGGCAAACTGATAGAGGTGGAAAAACATCGGTGAAAACAAATAGAAACATCGATGAAAATATCGATGTTTCCATACATCGATGTTTTTGCACCTCTCAAACCTGGCATCGGAGATACTATCGATATCGTTTTTAAAGCATTTGTGTTATTAAACACTTTACACTTTACACGTGTAGATAATAATTTTACACGTTTTCAGAAAGTAGTAATACCAAAACAAGATGGTATTTTTAAAAATACTAAAAAACCCGTTGGGCAATATTGGTTTTTCAAATATTTTGGAAATGATATAAGAAACCTTGAACTTATTATTCTTATTGCATCTTTAATTTATTTTTAATTAAGTATTTTACATATTAATACTAGAGACTAGCAAATTGGTTTCGATTGGGTAAGGCGTGTAACACTCTGAAATAATTTAAGAAAACCTACTAAGCTTGATAAAAAATGGAAATAACAAGAGCCAAACTTCAAACCGAAAGAATCATTACAGCTCTGAAAAATAAATAAATTCTTAAATTTTATTGATTGCCAAGTGGCCATTTTGTAAATTCTCTTAGGTCGCAAATCGACTATGTTCCGCGAAGGTCTACTAGCTCACAAGTTTCTAAATTTAAACAATTTACGTATGTATATATAGTTGGCTTCTGAAGCTGTCACAAAACATTTTTATCTATAGCCAAATTAACGGTCCCCTGTGTCTTAGTTCATTTGCTAAATAATAAAATTAAGCCATACAAAACGCACGGGTCCGCCGTTTATAACACAAATTCATATAAAGAGGAGGGAATAACCCAAAAAATGTCCACTCCAAACTTTCTACTGAGCAATGGGAAAAATATGCCAATGGTGGGTCTTGGGACCTGGCGGGTGAGTCTCACTGAATGTGGTAATAATGCTATTAAATAATGGCCCAAAGAATTGCACTTGCAATGTTTATTTCACGGTCAATGCTAAAGCTTTACGAGCTTTCCCTGCATTTTAGCTTTTTGCAAGTTTGTAACCTTTAACCATTGAATTTAGAGTCCTCCGGAGGTCATCACACAAGCCGTCAAAGATGCCATCGACATTGGCTATCGGCACTTTGATTGCGCCCACATATATGGCAATGAGGCACAGGTGGGCGCTGCCCTCCGGGAGAAAATGGAGGAGGGTATTGTCACACGGTAGGCTATATGAAAATCAGGAAAATTATATTTTTAACCAACTCTAAACTCCTTTAGTGAAAGCCTCTTTATCACGAGCAAACTGTGGAACACTTACCACAAACCGGAGCTAGTGCGTGGCGCCTGCGAGACAAGTTTGAGGAATCTGGAAGTCAATTACCTGGATCTCTACCTCATGCACTGGCCCATGGCATACAAGTCGGGCGATAATCTCTATCCCACCTGTCCGGATACGAATAAGGCGGTGTTCGAGGACATAGACTACGTGGACACATGGCGGGCTATGGAGGAGCTGGTGGATGAGGGACTGGTCCATGCAATTGGGGTGTCCAACTTTAATGAACAGCAAATCAATCGACTGCTGGGCGTGGCCAAGTTAAAGCCGGTGGTGCTCCAAATCGAATGCCACCCGTACCTGCGCCAGAAGTCACTGATAACGCTGTGCTATGACAATGCCATAGCTGTGACCGCCTACAGCTCTCTGGGATCGGGTCATACGCCGTATGAGAAGCCCGGGGCATATCCCTTGCTGCAGCATCCCACAATATTGGCCATAGCGGAGAAGTACGGCAGGACGCCGGCCCAGGTCCTGCTCCGGTATCAGACGCAGTCGGGCATCATCGTCATACCGCGTTCGGTGACCATGCATCACATGAGCGACAACTTCAAGCGGATCTGGGACTTTGAATTGGCCATAGATGATACCAAGGCTATCGATGATTTGGACTGCAATGGTCGTTTTATGACCATGAAGGCGTAGGTTTTATTATTACCTTAAATATATTTATATTAATTGATATTTTTCAGGGCTTATGGTCATCCACATCATCCCTTCGAGCCTGGCCAGTCGCAATAGATTACTTTTGGTGGAATGGATGGAAAGAAGGATATGTCAAGGAATTTAGCAGGAATTATTGTTTAAGATTTATCTTGTTTTAAAGATGATTTAATAAATCCATGTATTTTGCTATGCAAATTTACGAGTCTATTGCTTTAGCTTTCATTCTGGACCCTTAAAATGTTGCTTTTCATTTTTATTTACATCTTTATCATGCTATTTTTTGTGTAGGAAAATTGTCAAATTAAAGTAAGCTTAGCATTATTTATTCATGGCAAGACATTACATATTTCAATTAAATAAGAATTATATAACAAACATGAGCTCTCTCTTGAAAAATCAACTAACACAACCAATGCTTGGGAACTCTATTAAAAATGCTGGAAACATTGAGCGATTAATTAGGTATATAATTGAAAAACTTTAGACTTATTTATTTGTTAATTAGAGTTATTTAGCAGTTGTCAAAAGGACATCCCTAAAGTTCCCAAAATAGTCTTTAATGATTGCAATGAAATACCTATAATTGGACTTGGAACTTGGAATGTAAGTATTATTACAGAATATCTGTTGTTTTGTTTTTTAAAACTGTTTCACTTTTGTCAGTTTTTGAACTTTTTAAATATAATAATATATAAAGAAATATAAAATATGAACTATGAATAAATAAAATATAAAGTAATATAAAATGAAGAATTTTAAAATAAACATTTTCAAGGGGTTGAAATTTAAATTTAACGCTTGAGATCGCTCAGCTGTTTTTAAATTATGCCGCTGCAACCCTGTTTAAAAAGCTTTTTCTGCGTTTTTTAACAAGCTTTTGGCTTATAAAACCGGCCCCCAGCTGGGTGACATTGTTCAGTTCTGTTTTTTTAAGAAACGCCGGCGTTTTGTATTATATATTTATAAATCCCGACCGAATAAATAAGGAAACAGCAAACAAAATGGCACCCAAAGTACCCACTGTTAAGTTCAACAACGGCAAGGAGATCCCCATTATTGGTCTGGGAACCTGGGGCGTAAGTATAATAAGTAATTAGAATAAAATCAATTACATAGCTTTTTATTTATCCCATTTGTGGGTATTTTATCGCTGTATGCAGTAGTTTTCCGCTGCCCACGACTTCCCGTTTTATTTTTGCTTAGTTCTCTTGTGCACTAATGACAGACAGAAAAAATAATAAATAAAATACAAATGGAGGAGATAAAATAGCAAACACGCGTCGCATTGCTGATAGTTTGCCGGTCGTGTTTTGTTAGTATTACTAAACATTTGTACATATACATATGTATGTAAGTGTGTGTGTGGGGGAGTGTTGAATGTGGCAGCAATACTACGAAATTAACTAATGCTCCATAATTGTTAGTTTCCAATGATTTGAGGATCTTTCTCGAGCTTCTGGCCAAGCCAAGGTGACCCTTATTTCCCTGCCTTCTTGGGCTTTTTAAAGAATTTCACAACTTTATGCTGCATCATCATCTGATATGAATGTAGTTTGAGGAGTTAATAAACACTCTTATCTGAAGTGGAGAGGATTTATTAAACAAGATTGTTCCAGTTTGTAAGAGGAGTTCTGTTTAAAAAAAAGGGAGGGGTTTTAAATTACAAACGCGCCCCTCAAAAGCTACAACAAGAATTCGCATTATATTCAAGTGAAATTCATACACAGACAGCTGGAAATCTAAATAGATTGAAACGTGAAAACTACTGATAAGCTGAGCTTAATTAGCAAGGGTATTATAAGGGTATTTCGGTATTTGACCTTATCTTTTGCAATCGTACAATGCCTAATATTATTCAGCACAATTAATGAATTATTACAGTCATAAATTAGAAGGTCAAAGTTTAGGCAAATTATGTCAAAATCAAATGAACGTTTATTCCCACAAAATTCCAGACAAGCTAAGCTTCCGTTTCCCTTTTTGATATTAATAGCTCATCTTAAGACGTATATATTCTAAAATATTCCTAACGAAATCATTTTTAATTATAAGACGTTAGAATTGAAGTTAATAAGAGTACTCATAAGTGGCGCCAAGTGTCAGATAGGCCGAATTTTGGGTTTCTACCATGACGTACTCTAGATTCTTTCAAAAGACCTTCATTTCTTATTGAAAAATTTCCATTTTTATATTAACGAAGCATTAATACATAATTAATTATTAATTAATCATTAATTAATTAATGAACACTTAATAAATCCAATTAATGTTACTAATTCCTAGAGCTTTCCTATTTTATTTATTATTGAAATGTGTTCAATTTTTATATTAACAAAGAATTCATAAATGAAATGAATTTAAATCCATTTTTAATAAATCCAATTAATGTTACTAATTCCTTGAGCTTTTCTATTTTTTAAACTGACACTTCTTATGTATTTTCTTTTCCAGAGCCCCAAGGGTCAGGTAACTGAGGCTGTAAAAATCGCCATCGATGCTGGTTATAGGCACATTGACTGTGCTCATGTTTACCAAAATGAAGATGAGGTCGGAGAGGGTGTTGAAGCCAAGATCAAGGAGGGTGTTGTCAAGCGGTTCGTCCTTAACTCTGAATTCCATTCACACTTCGTTTATTAAACCTCGTTTCTTGCAGTGAGGATCTGTTCATCACCAGCAAGGTATGGAACACATTCCACAGTCCCAAGCTGGTCAGGACCGCTGTGGAGAAAACACTGAGTGCTCTGAGGCTGAAGTACCTCGATCTTTACCTGATCCACTGGCCCATGGGTTATCAGGAAGGCGGTGAGCTATTCCCTGTCGATAAGGATGGCAAGACTGCCCAATCGGATGTGGATTATGTCGATACCTGGAAGGCCATGGAGAAGTTGGTGGAAGATGGTCTGGTCAAATCCATTGGAGTGTCTAACTTCAATAAGAGGCAGATCGAGCGTATTTTGGCTGTGGCCAAGATCGTTCCAGCCACCAACCAGGTCGAGTGCCATCCATATCTGCAGCAGAAGAAACTGATTGAATACTGCAGATCGAAGGGTATTACGATCACTGCCTACAGTCCTTTGGGTTCGCCCAACCGCCCCTGGGCCAAGGCTGGTGATCCGGTTATCCTGGAGGAGCCTAAGGTTCGTTTTGATAGTCAGATTTAAATATTTACATAAATTATACAACAATTTTTATAATCATAGATTAAGGAACTTGCCGCTAAGAAGAACAAGACCACAGGACAGATTCTTATCCGTTACCAGATTCAACGTGGCAATATTGTGATTCCCAAATCGGTGACCAAGGAACGCATTGAGTCCAACTTCCAGGTCTTTGACTTTGAGCTGACACCCGAGGAGGTCAAGATCATTGAGACCTTTGAGTGCAACGGTCGCCTGGTTGCTATCGAGGCGTAAGTGTCAAAGCACATTATTTCTATTCCACCTAAGTTTAATAAGTACAATTAATATTTGTCAAGCAAACAATTAGGAAGAAAGAAATATTAATATTTATAGTTATCAACGCATGACCTCTTTTTGATAGCTTTTTTGTTGATATTAATATGCTGTATTAATCTAAATAAACTACATTAATAATCTCTTAATATTTACAGACTCTTTGGACACCCCCACCATCCCTTCGAGAATGATGAATACTAATAGAGAATAATCAAATATTTTAGCTTGTTACACAATCATATTAATCACAAATCGTATGAATAAACAAAAGAGAAACTATTTTATGTATCCTACATTTACTTTAAAAACTGGCTGACCAAATAAACGGCTCCCATGTGTGTCTTAAATCAATTGTTAACAAAAAATCGGTTAATGCACCTCTGACGTATAATTCCGACACGAGCGAGCAATTTACGTAAAGTCAAAATATCTAACAAGTGTTTAAGCCAAGCTAAGAACAAATATTTTGCACAGTTGTTTCTCTAATAGGTATTTAAAGGAGGTATTTGCTTGCACATATATAGTATAGTTCAGACAGTTTGCTCAGTTTTTGTCTTATTTTCGGGGGAGAACAAAAGAAGTACCAAATGTTGTTTAGCAAATGAAATTTGCAATACAAAAGCATCTACGCAAATATCCGAAATACACCTCGGGCTAGGGTATAAAAGGTTTCAAATCCCAAAATTTGGCAACAGATCTTTTTGATCCGACTCCAGGTCTTTTGGAGGATCATGCGCTTGATTTTCGTCGCGGTTGTGGCCGCTCTGGTGGCCCTCGCAGCGGCCCAATCTCAATCTCAAACGGTTACGGCGGTGGCTACCCCGGATATTAAGCCCCAGCCGTGTTGTGAAAGTGTTCGACAAACTTTAATTGAAATACGAAAGGATATACGTCTATGGCTGCTGGATAGACTCTTCGGAAAGCTGCTTCTACTCCACGACGGCGAATTGCTCGGAAATCCTAATTATGTGAATTGTGCCAATGGAAAAAAGAAACTTGAACTATCGAATGAGAGTTCTAGTATACTCGACGAAATATATGACACTACAAGTCAATCAAAAGAAGGCCAGTCAAGTTCTTCCTCTGATGACATTAATGATGATGGAGTGCCCAGCGAGTCCTCATCCTCAACGACAACCACGACAACATCGACAACATCCTCAAATGGGGGTGAGTCTTCCAACTCCGGAGTAGAGGTCACCAAGAATGGCTCCTCCAACAATGATGGAAGCTCCAGCCAGTCTTCGTCCACGACCACGACTACTACAACTACATCCTCGGATGAGGGACAATCCAGCTCCCCGTCTGCTCCTGTTGTAGAGGTCAGCCAGGATGGCTCCTCCAATGGTAATGGAAGCTCCAGCCAATCTTCGTCCACGACCACGACTACTACAACTACATCCTCGGATGAGGGACAATTCAGCTCCTCGTCTGATCCTGTTGTAGAGGTCACCCAGGATGGCTCCTCCAATGGTAATGGAAGCGCCAGCCAATCTTCGTCCACGACCACGACTACTACAACTACATCCTCGGATGAGGGACAATCCAGCTCCTCGTCTGATCCTGTTGTAGAGGTCACCCAGGATGGCTCCTCCAATGATAATGGAAGCTCCAGCCAGTCTTCGTCCACGACCACGACTACTACAACTACATCCTCGGATGAGGGACAATCCAGCTCCTCGTCTGATCCTGTTGTAGAGGTCACCCAGGCCAGGATGGCTCCTCCAACAATGATGGAAGCTCCAGCCAGTCTTCGTCCACGACCACGACTACTACAACTACATCCTCGGATGAGGGACAATCCAGCTCCTCGTCTGATCCTGTTGTAGAGGTCACCCAGGATGGCTCCTCCAACAATGATGGAAGCTCCAGCCAGTCTTCGTCCACGACCACGACTACTACAACTACATCCTCGGATGAGGGACAATCCAGCTCCTCGTCTGCTCCTGTTGTAGAGGTCACCCAGGATGGCTCCTCAAACAATGATGGAAGCTCCAGCCAGTCTTCGTCCACGACCACGACTACTACAACTACATCCTCGGATGAGGGACAATCCAGCTCCTCGTCTGATCCTGTTGTAGAGGTCACCCAGGATGGCTCCTCCAATGGTAATGGAAGCGCCAGCCAGTCTTCGTCCACGACCACGACTGCTACAACTACATCCTCGGATGAGGGACAATCCAGCTCCTCGTCTGATCCTGTTGTAGAGGTCACCCAGGATGGCTCCTCCAATGATAATGGAAGCTCCAGCCAGTCTTCGTCCACGACCACGACTACTACAACTACATCCTCGGATGAGGGACAATCCAGCTCCTCGTCTGATCCTGTTGTAGAGGTCACCCAGGATGGCTCCTCCAATGGTAATGGAAGCGCCAGCCAGTCTTCGTCCACGACCACGACTACTACAACTACATCCTCGGATGAGGGACAATCCAGCTCCTCGTCTGATCCTGTTGTAGAGGTCACCCAGGATGGCTCCTCCAACAATGATGGAAGCTCCAGCCAGTCTTCGTCCACGACCACGACTACTACAACTACATCCTCGGATGAGGGACAATCCAGCTCCCCGTCTGCTCCTGTTGTAGAGGTCACCCAGGATGGCTCCTCAACAATGATGGAAGCTCCAGCCAGTCTTCGTCCACGACCACGACTACTACAACTACATCCTCGGATGAGGGACAATCCAGCTCCTCGTCTGATCCTGTTGTAGAGGTCACCCAGGATGGCTCCTCCAATGATAATGGAAGCTCCAGCCAGTCTTCGTCCACGACCACGACTACTACAACTACATCCTCGGATGAGGGACAATCCAGCTCCCCGTCTGCTCCTGTTGTAGAGGTCACCCAGGATGGCTCCTCAAACAATGATGGAAGCTCCAGCCAGTCTTCGTCCACGACCACGACTACTACAACTACATCCTCGGATGAGGGACAATCCAGCTCCTCGTCTGATCCTGTTGTAGAGGTCACCCAGGATGGCTCCTCCAATGGTAATGGAAGCGCCAGCCAGTCTTCGTCCACGACCACGACTACTACAACTACATCCTCGGATGAGGGACAATCCAGCTCCTCGTCTGATCCTGTTGTAGAGGTCACCCAGGATGGCTCCTCCAACAATGATGGAAGCTCCAGCCAGTCTTCGTCCACGACCACGACTACTACAACTACATCCTCGGATGAGGGACAATCCAGCTCCCCGTCTGCTCCTGTTGTAGAGGTCAGCCAGGATGGCTCCTCCAATGGTAATGGAAGCTCCAGCCAATCTTCGTCCACGACCACGACTACTACAACTACATCCTCGGATGAGGGACAATTCAGCTCCTCGTCTGATCCTGTTGTAGAGGTCACCCAGGATGGCTCCTCCAATGGTAATGGAAGCGCCAGCCAGTCTTCGTCCACGACCACGACTACTACAACTACATCCTCGGATGAGGGACAATCCAGCTCCTCGTCTGATCCTGTTGTAGAGGTCACCCAGGATGGCTCCTCCAACAATGATGGAAGCTCCAGCCAGTCTTCGTCCACGACCACGACTACAACAACTACATCCTCGGATGAGGGACAATCCAGCTCCTCGTCTGATCCTGTTGTAGAGGTCACCCAGGATGGCTCCTCCAATGATAATGGAAGCTCCAGCCAGTCTTCGTCCACGACCACGACTACTACAACTACATCCTCGGATGAGGGACAATCCAGCTCCCGTCTGCTCCTGTTGTAGAGGTCACCCAGGATGGCTCCTCAAACAATGATGGAAGCTCCAGCCAGTCTTCGTCCACGACCACGACTACTACAACTACATCCTCGGATGAGGGACAATCCAGCTCCTCGTCTGATCCTGTTGTAGAGGTCACCCAGGATGGCTCCTCCAATGATAATGGAAGCTCCAGCCAGTCTTCGTCCACGACCACGACTACTACAACTACATCCTCGGATGAGGGACAATCCAGCTCCTCGTCTGATCCTGTTGTAGAGGTCACCCAGGATGGCTCCTCCAACAATGATGGAAGCTCCAGCCAGTCTTCGTCCACGACCACGACTACTACAACTACATCCTCGGATGAGGGACAATCCAGCTCATCGTCTGCTCCTGTTGTAGAGGTCACCCAGGATGGCTCCTCCAACAATGATGGAAGCTCCAGCCAGTCTTCGTCCACGACCACGACTACTACAACTACATCCTCGGATGAGGGACAATCCAGCTCCTCGTCTGATCCTGTTGTAGAGGTCACCCAGGATGGCTCCTCCAACAATGATGGAAGCTCCAGCCAGTCTTCGTCCACGACCACGACTACTACAACTACATCCTCGGATGAGGGACAATCCAGCTCCTCGTCTGATCCTGTTGTAGAGGTCACCCAGGATGGCTCCTCCAACAATGATGGAAGTTCCAGCCAGTCTTCGTCCACGACCACGACTACTACAACTACATCCTCGGATGAGGGACAATCCAGCTCCTCGTCTGATCCTGTTGTAGAGGTCACCCAGGATGGCTCCTCCAACAATGATGGAAGCTCCAGCCAGTCTTCGTCCACGACCACGACTACTACAACTACATCCTCGGATGAGGGACAATCCAGCTCCTCGTCTGATCCTGTTGTAGAGGTCACCCAGGATGGCTCCTCCAACAATGATGGAAGCTCCAGCCAGTCTTCGTCCACGACCACGACTACTACAACTACATCCTCGGATGAGGGACAATCCAGCTCTCCGTCTGCTCCTGTTGTAGAGGTCACCCAGGATGGCTCCTCAACAATGATGGAAGCTCCAGCCAGTCTTCGTCCACGACCACGACTACTATAACTACATCCTCGGATGAGGGACAATCCACCTCCTCGTCTGATCCTGTTGTAGAGGTCACCCAGGATGGCTCCTCCAACAATGATGGAAGCTCCAGCCAGTCTTCGTCCACGACCACGACTACTACAACTACATCCTCGGATGAGGGACAATCCACCTCCTCGTCTGATCCTGTTGTAGAGGTCACCCAGGATGGCTCCTCCAATAATAATGGAAGCTCCAGCCAGTCTTCGTCCACGACCACGACTACTACAACTACATCCTCGGATGAGGGACAATCCAGCTCTCAGTCTGCTCCTGTTGTAGAGGTCACCCAGGATGGCTCCTCAAACAATGATGGAAGCTCCAGCCAGTCTTCGTCCACGCCCACGACTACTACAACTACATCCTCGGATGAGGGACAATCCAGCTCCTCGTCTGATCCTGTTGTAGAGGTCACCCAGGATGGCTCCTCCAATGATAATGGAAGCTCCAGCCAGTCTTCGTCCACGACCACGACTACTACAACTACATCCTCGGATGAGGGACAATCCAGCTCTCAGTCTGCTCCTGTTGTAGAGGTCACCCAGGATGGCTCCTCAAACAATGATGGAAGCTCCAGCCAGTCTTCGTCCACGACCACGACTACTACAACTACATCCTCGGATGAGGGACAATCCAGCTCCTCGTCTGATCCTGTTGTAGAGGTCACCCAGGATGGCTCCTCCAATGATAATGGAAGCTCCAGCCAGTCTTCGTCCACGACCACGACTACTACAACTACATCCTCGGATGAGGGACAATCCAGCTCTCAGTCTGCTCCTGTTGTAGAGGTCACCCAGGATGGCTCCTCAAACAATGATGGAAGCTCCAGCCAGTCTTCGTCCACGACCACGACTACTACAACTACATCCTCGGATGAGGGACAATCCAGCTCCTCGTCTGATCCTGTTGTAGAGGTCACCCAGGATGGCTCCTCCAATGATAATGGAAGCTCCAGCCAGTCTTCGTCCACGACCACGACTACTACAACTACATCCTCGGATGAGGGACAATCCAGCTCCTCGTCTGATCCTGTTGTAGAGGTCACCCAGGATGGCTCCTCCAACAATGATGGAAGCTCCAGCCAGTCTTCGTCCACGACCACGACTACTACAACTACATCCTCGGATGAGGGACAATCCAGCTCTCCGTCTGCTCCTGTTGTAGAGGTCACCCAGGATGGCTCCTCCAACAATGATGGAAGCTCCAGCCAGTCTTCGTCCACGACCACGACTACTACAACTACATCCTCGGATGAGGGACAATCCAGCTCTCCGTCTGCTCCTGTTGTAGAGGTCACCCAGGATGGCTCCTCCAATGATAATGGAAGCTCCAGCCAGTCTTCGTCCACGACCACGACTACTACAACTACATCCTCGGATGAGGGACAATCCAGCTCCCCGTCTGCTCCTGTTGTAGAGGTCACCCAGGATGGCTCCTCCAATGATAATGGAAGCTCCAGCCAGTCTTCGTCCACGACCACGACTAGTACAACTACATCCTCGGATGAGGGACAATCCAGCTACCCGTCTGGTCCTGTTGTAGAGGTCACCCAGGATGGCTCCTCCAACAATGATGGAAGCTCCAGCCAGTCTTCGTCCACGACCACGACTACTACAACTACATCCTCGGATGAGGGACAATCCAGCTCCCCGTCTGCTCCTGTTGTAGAGGTCACCCAGGATGGCTCCTCCAATGATAATGGAAGCTCCAGCCAGTCTTCGTCCACGACCACGACTACTACAACTACATCCTCGGATGAGGGACAATCCAGCTCTCCGTCTGCTCCTGTTGTAGAGGTCACCCAGGATGGCTCCTCCAACAATGATGGAAGCTCCAGCCAGTCTTCGTCCACGACCACGACTACTACAACTACATCCTCGGATGAGGGACAATCCAGCTCTCCGTCTGCTCCTGTTGTAGAGGTCACCCAGGATGGCTCCTCCAACAATGATGGAAGCTCCAGCCAGTCTTCGTCCACGACCACGACTACTACAACTACATCCTCGGATGACGGACAATCTACCACATCGACGTCTCCTGACGTCAAAGTTACCAAAGGTAGGCCCTCCAAAGGTGGTAAATCGAGCTGGAAATCTACCAAAACAACGAAGACCTATTCATCAAAGACTGCAAAGGTTCCCAAGTCAAGTGGAAAGTCAAGCTCTCACAAAACTACGACCACAACAGTGACATTCAGCTCGAACAATAATGACTCTGGAGCATCCTCTCCCATTGTGGAGGTGTCCCAGGGAAGTTCATCAGACAAGCGTGGAAGCTCAAGCCAATCTTCAACTACAACCACAACTACTTCCTCAAGCGGAAGTAATAAGTCAAGCTCCTCGTCCCTGCCATCGGTTGATGTCACCGCAGGTGTTAATGGCGGAAAATCTGGCTGGAAATCTACCAAAACAACTAAGACCTATTCAACAAAGACTTCAAAGGTGCCCAAGTCAAGTGGAAAGCCAAGCTCTAGCAAAACTACTACTACAACTGTGACATCCAGCTCGGATAACAGTCAATCTGGAGCATCATCCTCTCCCATTGTGGAGGTGTCCCAGGGAAGTTCGTCGGACAATGGTGGAAGCTCAAGCCAATCTTCAACTACAACAACAACTACTTCCTCGAGCGGAAGTAATAAGTCAAGCTCCTCGTCCCTGCCATCGGTTGATGTCACTGCAGGTGTTAATGACGGAAAATCTGGCTGGAAATCTACCAAAACAACGAAGACCTATTCTTCAAAGACTTCAAAGGTTCCCAAGTCAAATGGAAAGTCAAACTCTAGCAAGACTACTACTACAACTGTGACATCCAGCACGGATAACAGCCAATCTGGAGCATCAACGTCTCCAATTGTGGAGGTGTCCCAGGGAAGTTCATCAGGCGAAGGTAAAAACTCGAACCAAGCCTCGTCCACGACTACGACCTCAACGACAACTACTTCAAATGACGGACAATCCAGCACATCGACAGTTCCTGTCGTCGAAGTCACCCAAGGTAGCTCCTCAAATGGTGGTAAATCCAGCTGGACATCTACCAAAACAACGAAGAGCTTATTTTCAAAGACTTCAAAGGTTCCCAAGTCAAATGGAAAGTCAAACTCTAGCAAAACTACTACTACAACTGTGACATCCAGCTCGGATAACAGTCAATCTGGAGCATTATCCTCTCCCATTGTGGAGGTGTCCCAGGGAAGTTCGTCGGACAATGGTGGAAGCTCAAGCCAATCTTCAACTACAACCACAACAACGTCCACAAGCGGAAGTAATCAGTCATCATCTCTGCCATCAGTTGAAATCGTTTCCGGTGTTAATGGTGGAAAGTCAAGCTCGACGATTACAAAGTCAACAAAGACATATTCCTCGCAGTCCTCTAGTCTGCCTAAATCGAGTGGAAAGACAAGCAAAACGGTGACCACAGTTACAACATCCAAGTCATCTGCGGCTCCTAAGATTGAACCCAACTACTCATGGTCAACAACATCGAAGAAACTATCCGATCCCATCCACACACTTTCATGGACTAGTCGCTCCAGCAGCCAGCCTTCAATTGAGGAATCTAGCGGAGATTCATCCAACTCCTGGTCAAAACTGATTAAACGAAGCACTACGGGCATTTCCTCAGAGGATGACAGCAACGGATTCGTTGTAGGACCAGGAGGATCTCGTGGCGGGCAAGCATGGTCCCAGCGGTCAGGATTCTCCAGTGAAAATTCTGGTATCCAGGGATCTCCTGACATTCGTTTCAGATACACTAGAGGTCAGAATAGTGGTGAAGGACAGTCGCAGGACTCGCAAACCTGGTCCAGGAGCTCCACTGGAGGCAGTGACAGCACGGATGGCGCAGCAGTATCCGTAGATGGTCAGAATGTGGATGAATCGGAGGGCAGCCAAAGTGCGGTACAAGGTGGCTCCGTTCGTGGTACCGGAAGATATCCCTACTGGTGGGGCAACCGACGATGGGTGGGCGTTGGAGCCCAGCCCAACTGGCGCTATGGATGGCGTCCATACGGAAGCGGTTGGGGTAGATGGAGCAATCAATATTAAAGTAATTCCCTTCCATTGGAATAAGCCTCAAAAATAGGAGGTGTGGCTTTAATTTATATGATTGTAAAATATATGCATTTGAATATTATCAATCGTATTTTTATTTAAGTTGATTCTATGCTTACTATTTTTAATAGCGGAGCAGGCTCATATATGTACATTAAAGTGAAACTATAAATAAAATTTCTAAGAGTGTATCAATAAAGTTTAGTTTATTGAAGAATTATAGACTAAGTCTTGAAATACCAGGGAAATGTATAAATTACAAAAAAAAAATATATATAGTCTTAGAAACAATTTATCTGTTATAAACAAAATAATAAAATCTTCTCAGAACACATAGAAATGTAAAAAATATGAAAGTGACACGTAGATCAAATTAAATCATTTTATTGCAATATTTATTCTGGGAAAAAAATCACTTTAAAAGAAAAAGTAAAATTTATTTCCCGAACTGGTGGTGCTGTTTTTGATAAACTGAATAAAGTCGGTCCATGACCATTGGGATGCTGGCAGAGATTCAGTTGAAGCTGCAGGAGACCAGGGGGCTTCAGTGGTTGTAGTAGTTTGGGCGAAGGCGCATGATATGGCCCCAAGTAACACCGAAAAGATTATTATCAGAACCTTCGACTTCATAATGCCTGGGATAGATGACTAAAATTTGAATTACGTGTTTCGCTGCTTTATACTTTTTCCGAAAAGAAATAAACTAATATTTACTAAGCATATTTAGACAAATGGTTTTTTGGAATTCAATCTCTAATAGCGCAGAGTCTGAAAACTGTTGGGTAAGCAAGCCCGACAGACATTATTTAACGAGAGTTCATATATCTTGAACTTTCTTAAGAAACATCCGGTTATGTATTAAACTATAATATTTATATAATTATATACAGATATTCTAAAAGCATTCCAAAGTATTTTTTATGATTTCTTAAACGAGATATGTATTTATTATTATTTAACACAGTTAAAACTTTTTGAATTAAAATTAATGCTTTTAAACATTAAATTATCTAAAGAGTTATGATATTAATATTTTAATAAATATTAATTTAAAGAATGCGAATATTTCAGGGGTTCTCTTGAGAGGAAAGGATGCCCATATAACATATATTTTCCAAGTCCCAATAATAATGTGTATACATTTTTTAAGCACCGTATCTCGAATCAAAAATTTGCTCAATATGATGTTTCGTTTATTTTGCTTTTTATTGTGTTAATTTTTCATTCTTTGTTTGCCGATGTTGCCATCTCAGCTTGGGAATAATTCGAAAATTCCCGCTTCATTAGTTCGATATTTTTATCTATATTTATATTTATATTTATTTCTCTTCTCCACAGCTCCCTCTACAATGTAAAATTTGAACTTTACTTGGGCTCGCAGCAATCAGATGGCAAGGCTAAAATGGTGCTAAATAATCTTGAAAAGAGCAAGAAGAAGCACAAAGTGCACAAAATAAAAAATCGAATTACAGGACTTAAAAACAATACAAAATTGAGTCTAAATCGCTGGCTCTAAAACCCCGAACTCGGTGACAAATCGCATTAAAGCGGTGAGTGTGCGTCGGTGATTATTCGCGCGGCGTTTGGCCAACGATTATTGTTAGCAATAGCAAACACAGCACACTCACACATACGGGCATACGCAGTGGCTCGCACACACTCACACATATATATGTACAAGCACAAACAGAACAGATGAAAATCTGGAAATTTGTATTCATTATTTTTATTTTTCATGACGAATCAAGTTGTTAGTGTGCTTCTGGGATAAATCTCCAAATCCCAAAAGTCAAGCGCAGCTCAGCGCACGAAAAATCTACGTTTCCTGTCCACGATTCGGGGCACAAAGCACGGAGAGCCCAGCGCCAGAGCAAGGTGGGTGAAAGGAAACCTCTGAGGTCGCATTTTCTGCGACGACATCTCGCCATCTGATACTGAAACGGAAGCGGAATCGGACAAAGAACGCGGACCACCGACGAGTTTGTTAGTGGTGGAAAACGCGAGCAGTAGCACCGCGGAGGAGCGTCGTTTATGACGCACATTTGGGGAAAGTGAGCTGAGCACGAAACAGCAACAAAGGCAACCGCCACTGGGGCGACATTAGAATAGGAGCAGCAGCTGCAGCGGCACCATGACGATCAAGCCAGTAAGTGCACCGCCCAGTGCGAAGCGTGTGGCCGGCAATGTGGTCGATGCGGATAACAAGGAGACGCAGGTGGTGGTGGTGGTAGAGCAGTCGGTGGCCAGCCAGGCCCAGGTGAGTGCTTCCTTTCACCTGGTTTTCTTCTCCTTTTCACATTTTTCCTTTTCTTTTCGCCCACCACAACTAGAGTCCCCAAAGGCGTGGCGAAGTCTATGACGAGCTGGCACGCACCCATCGCTGCAGCCCCCACAAGAGGTGAGTGCCGCCTGCCTCCGCAGTCACCGTTAGAAGTTGCATGTTACGTGTTGAAGGGGATTCCCCTTACAGTGCAGCAATTAAATAGCATTTCTGGTGCATAACTTACATATATTACAAAGCAATTCGAAGAGGGTTTAATGGCACACTCCTAAGCTTATACTACTAAACCGAACTACTTCTAAAAAGAAGAGTTCATTTGGTTCCGCCTTTTGCGCAGTAAATTAACGTCGTTACCTTTGGTTTGTTGTAGTTTTCTATCGTTCACAACTCAAATAACACATTAGCACATAGTTTCTCGAAGCTACAAATAATTATTACAACTTCTGTGAAACACTATGTTGTGCCAAAGAAATCGTTTTGAATATTTCATTAATATACCATCAATATTAATATATTCCATATATTTTCCTAATTTGCAGCAACGCCCGTTCAAAGCGCCGTGACCACCATGATAGTCATGGTCATCATCACAAACGTGATCGTCTCGAGCGCGAGAAACTTAACCATCCCGCCGTGGTGGCTGGCAGCGGAGGAGCATCCGGCGGCGTGTCTGGTAGCAAATGCAATAGTCCACCTTCCACTTCCACTTCGAGCGGCAGCAGCAGTCCCTCGGTGGGCAGAAATTCACCCGAACATCTGGGCCTAGGCTGCTCCACAGTACCTACGGCTCAGGGACAGCTTGCACCGCCAACGGTGGCGACTGCCAATCTACTGAAATCGTCGGAAGATGCCTTTTCGGGCTATAACAGCGGGGACGAACACCTACAGCCCAAGGAGCACAACATTTCAGCGGAAGAGTGGCAGCGTCGCGACGTAGAGTTTTCCAAATGCATGGATCAGCGTGGATACGAGCTGAAGCCTGTGGAAGAGGACGGCGCCTGCCTGTTCCGCTCCATCTCCCTGCAGATCTACGGCGACGAGGAGATGCACGATGTGATTCGCCAGCACACCATGGATTACATAGTATGTACTTGGAATTTCTGTTTAAATATTTGTATTAACAACAAATACTTCCACTTGCAGCATGAAAATCGAGAGTACTTTGGACAGTTTGTCACCGAGGATATTAACAGCTACATCCAGCGGAAGCGAGCTCGTGATGCCCATGGCAACCACATCGAGATCCAGGCCATATCCGAGATATATAGTCGCACAGTTGAGGTCTACTGCTACCAATCGAGTGAGTTCACAGGAATTCTGGGGAGAAAAATCACTTTAATTACTCATATACTTCCTTTATTGCAGCTCCCATTAACATCTTCAACTCGGAACAGTCTCAGGCTGGCTACCCTCCTTTGCGCCTGTCCTATCAACGCGGCTCCCACTACAATGCCATTTTGGATCCATATAATGCCACTGTGGGCGTCGGCTTGGGCTTGGCTGGTTACAAGCCCGAAATTCAGACCGCAGAGGCAGTGCGTCTCAGCGAACAACTGGAGATCGAACAGACCATGTTCGAGGACAAGCTGAAGACAACGGACTGGGAGGCCACCAATGAAGCCATCGAGGAGCAGATAGCTCGTGAGTCATACCTGCAGTGGTGCCGCGATAACATGCAACGTTCGCGCAGCAGTAACACGGCCGCTGGATCGGCAACATCCTCAACGGTAACTTCTGCAGAGGCGCTCACCGATTCCGATGCCTCGCCGTCAAAGTACTCGATGTGCGGTGGGACCGGCAGCAGTGGCAATCCAGCCGCCACATTGACAAGCTCCAGTGGTGCTGTGGACCCCACAGTCGCAGCCTTTTCGTTGTCACCCAAAACATTGAGCCAGTTTTCCCACAAGTTGGCATCGGATGACATTGGTGGCTATGACAGCGACACCACCGACATGAGCAGCACAAGTTCGGTAGGTCACTGCGGAGGTAACTCATCACCGAGCACAGTGTCAACGACGGGTCAGCGGACGGGCAAGGGATCAAAGACTCAGCGTCGTGCCACGGCCCTCAGAAAGAAGCGACGCCACGAGGCTCGAGAAGTGCCTCTAGCTGGGAAGAGGTGGGTTGAAACGATGGATTCCTTCCTTTTTTAGCTTGTTTAACTTTTCTACTCTCTTCCAACAGCACTGATATTTTGGAGGCTCCGCTGCGAAAGAGTCCGAAGCGGGATTCAGCTCCATCAGTGGCTCGCGCCAATACCCCGGATGCTGAGCAGCGTCCTTGCACCTCAAAGCAGTCTTCCATTTCGCCACAGAAGCGGGGCGAAGGTCAGTCGTCCAGCCAGCAGAACTACTCCAGCTTCTATCAAGAACTTCTTGAGGCTTCCTATGCCAATGAAGGTGAGAAATGTTTAATATTTTGATAGATAGGCTTTTCTAAGATCCCTTCACAGGGGTCAACGAGAGCGAGATGCTGCAACAGGCAATCCAAATGTCCACTCGCGATTATATGGAGGATCAGAAGCGCAAGTATCTCTCCGGACCGTAGGCCGCTGCCCCCCGACAGCTGCGCCTTCTTCTTTGTACAGTGATTTAGCAGTTCTTTTTCGCAACGAAAACGAAACAAAAAACTTACCAAAAAAAAACAAAAAAAATCAACAGAAGGAAAACAAAAACTTCAACTAAACGCAGAAATTATCGACGATCTTAAAATGTTGATGAAAGCAGGCGTGCCGCGTTAATGGATGAAAGGAGCAGGCTTGCTTTTCGCAGCACTTTTACACTCTCACATACACTATCCTATATATATATGTATATATATATATATATGATCATATATTTTGTAATAAGAAAATCCCAGGAAGGTTCATTAATGAATTTGCTGATTTAAGCACAAATTTTGATAAAAGGTCGATCCCCAAAAACGATCCAGTCCGCTTTTATACCATGAATATATGTCACGTTCCTTTTCCCCCTCCTTACAATTAATTGCTATTTTGTAAAACTTAAATCATAAAGTTAACTTTAGTAAGCAGACAGTAAATGAACATCCCTGCGTCGTGCATAAAGTAAAAATTAAATAAAAAACTAACATCCCGACATACATATACATATACACACACAATACGGATAATAATAATACGGATAATGCTAATGATTAATTATTTAATTAAATACAATAAATGGTGCATAATAATCGTAATTTATGAGTACTCTTAAATAAAGCAAAATTAATAATCACAGAAAAACAAAAAATATTGTTATTGTTTCGGGAGGATTTCTCATGAAAATCTAGTAAAAACCAACTCGTTTTAGATCAAATTATATTATTTACTGCATACATATATACAAGTTTATCTGTGTAGCAAAAAGTTATATAAATACATTCACAATTTTCGAATCTCCTGCCTACAAGTAAGTTAAAATCTAAATTGCATTTGTTTACATTATTTTTTTATATATATTTATATAGTAGTTCGCTGCCAGTGGAACAGTATCATGTATTCGTACAGGTGTGTTTGTACATATGGACAGCCAGGCATACATACATACAACATTGATTCTAATTGTGTACAAAAATACATTTCACTAAAATACATTGCGTATAAAATTATTATTCCTTTGCACATATTTCTCTTAAATTAGATTATATGGAATGTTGAGGGCGGACAAAGGCCTGGGACCGATCAACTGATGGGGGTTGGTAATTATCTATTGAATAATATGTGAAAATTAAACAATTTAAAGGTAATTGTAGGAATTTACTAACTGAAGCATATTTTTTAAGTTTAAATTATAAAAATCACAGGAAATGTAGTCAAATATAGAAATGATCTTGAACTTATAGGCGGTCCCCCTGATGATCATCATGATCTTATGATTAAAATTGTACACTGTGTTGGGATCTTCAATTAAGAAAACCCCTCTGAAGACATTAGCTAAAACATCCTTCTGTTTGCATTATCCGATTTTGTGAGAGTCAATTAAATTGTGTGGACCGAAAGAGAGTTGTAATTTTTTTTAGAGCAACCAAGACCGAGGACTTGGCTTTGGCTAAATTGAATTTTGCTTTAACTGACTTTACAAAAATCATTTGGCTAATTTATCATTTGCTGCTGTTGCTGCTGCTGTTGCGATGTCTGCTGTTGCTGCGGTGCCTGTTGCTGCTGCTGCGTGATCACTATGTGATGTTGCTGCTGCTGCTGCTGTTGCTGCTGCTGTTGTTGCTGCTGCTGTTGCTGCTGCTGTTGCTGCAACTGTTGCTGCTGGCTGGCTAGTTGATTGGCATGTTGCAAGGCTGCTGTGGTGGCCTCCGTAACCACTGGCTGCAGCATGCTGGTTCCATTCTCCCTACGAACATGACTATTGAGCTCCGCTTTAACCCTTCTGGCTATGTGCGAGCGTGTGTGTTTGCGCAGGTGATCCTTGCGATAGAATCCTTTGCCACATTCGGCACACTGATGCCGCTTCTCCCCGGAGTGGATCACAAAGTGCAGGCTCAGTTGCTCCTTCCGCTTGAAGGCCTTCAGGCAAACGGTGCAGATGTAGGGCCGATCCGGATTGTGCGACTGCTTGTGGCGGGTGAGGTGATCCTTGCGCTTGAGCGATGCCTGACATATGTCGCACACATACCGCTTCTCCAGGTTGTGACCCACCAGATGCACTTCGAGGAGTTCGGGCTCTGGATACGCCACATGGCATTCGGGGCACATGTACAGTGGGCTACCATCGAGCGCTGTTCCCAGTCGTATCTCTCCGGGTCGCAGTTTTGGTTTCCGGTCCTTGCTACGCTTTTTACGCTTCTTCTTCTTGGAGGAACTGCCACTGCCACCGGCTGTCGTCGCTGTGGCCGTCGTTGCTGTTGCCGTAACCGCTGCCTGTGCTTGCACCTGCAACGTTGTCGTCTGCTGCTGCTGCGGCTGCAACGTCAACTGCTCCTGCTGAGGTATACTAATGGTTGTTGTGCCAAGGGTATTGATGCCAATGGCTGGTCCCGTCTGCACCTGCAGTACCTGGTAATGAATATTTATTAATTAAAAATATATTTGAATATTATTTTAGGGTTTTACAACTTACCACATTTTGCTGATTCTCCTTTTTTATCGTTTCGGCGGAATACTTGAGGAAGTGGTGCAGCGACAGGGGCAACGTGTTGGCTGGAAGATGCGAGAGGTAGTCGGCAACGGTGGTGCCCGGCGTTAGTGTTTGCCACGAGGTATTTTGGAGTACTGGAAAGGGAATTAACTTATTATAAAATATCTCAATAAAATCTTATCAAGTTACCTTGCTGCTGCAGAATGGCATTGCACAGATCTTGTGTGAGTTCCTGTGGGGCCGTCACTTGTTGCTGCTGCATCTGCTGCTGCTGCTGTTGCTGCTGCTGCTGCTGACCGGAAGTGCTCGCTTGCAGCGCCTCCGCTGCGGCACTTGTTGTGGTTGCACTGGCATAGGCCACCGTGGCGTATTGCGTCTGCTGTTGCTGCTGCTGCTGCTGCTGCTGTTGCTGGGAGGCGGCAACCAGGTGGCCATTGTACTTGTCACCCTGCAGGGCATCCTCTTGGCCTCCACGGAATTTGTTATTTCCGCTGCCACTCTGACCCGTGGCCAGATTGGCCTGGCCAAAGTGTGCGACCTGTTGCTGCTGCTGGTAGCGATTGCTAGTGCCGGCAGCATCCTGCTGCTGCTGCTGTTGCTGGGGGTTATTGGTGGCGGTCACCGTCACATCCGCCACGGCAGCGGTCACCGTGGAAACCAAAGGCGCTGTGCTTGTTGTGAATTGCGGCAGGCCGGGAATATTGCCGGGAAAAGTGTTGCCAAACGGGGTGAAGTTCATGGTCCTTTCGTAGCTTAGCTCGAGGGGAGATCGTGGGTAATTTTATGGGATCCTGTGCGTTAAGGCAACTGAAATGGGGGATATACAATTTAATGATCAGGATAATAAAAGCTTAAATAGGCAATATTAAATATTTCATTATTATTATTAAGGTGTTAATGGTTTTTATTATATATTTTATTTCCCAAGTAACGTTCAAAATATCGAACTTGACTTTACAATTGAAGCTTAAAAGGCCTTTGAATAGAAAGTGAAAATAGCGCCGTGGTTGTTGTCGTTATTTTAGCTGACTTGCCGAATCCTACGCACACACACACACACACTCATACACTACCGCCCACCCGCAGGACAGGCATCTAAACACACCACCAGCCGACAAAACACACACAACAAACCCCCCACACACAGCAACACTAACAAGAACAACAACATCCTGGCTGCATTTGTAGAGGTGACGATAAAAAAGAGCGCGAATCCTGCGCGTGAGCAAGAGAGAAGGAACGAAGAAGGGTCAGGGGTGGGCACCGAAAACCTCAGGCAAGGAGCCTGAGGTGTACGGAGGACCCGACTCTATATGGCAATTTAGTGTGTCGGTACATTAAGATTAGGTTAGGGCTGACCCAAACCGCAAAACCGTGTGTATGCCTTTGGCTGAACCAAAAAAAAAACTAAAAAAGAAATTGAATTAAAGCCAAGAAAACGCGGAAAATGTACACGAATAACACATATAACTCATACGCAGCGTGGGACGATCTAAACTGACTTGTAAGTGGCAAGCAAACAGGGCTGCGCCATATCGATTTATACTTAGAACTCGATTCTCTGTCCTTTTTAATTGAGTAAACATTTATGCGTTTATAATTATTATTATTATTTTGTATTTATTTGATAAATATTAAAAGAAATTTGATGGTCGAGTCTTTGTGATGAATCAACTTTCACTTGAAAACACTTGGAAACGCGTTCGTTTATTTTTGTGCCTTGTGCGCGCGAACCCGTGACACAATAAAACGCAAGGCGGCGGGGTTTCCACAAAGGAAAAGTGCAGCCGATTGCATTTGCTGCCGCACAGCCCATTCTGGAGGTCACCTCCTCCGCGGGCAACAACAACAATAACAAGAAAGTGTGTGTATTGTGTGGGCTTGCCAAAGGGGTACTGGCTGGGAGCAGGAGGAGCAGGATGGAAGGTAACCACTAACCGTTCAATGTGTCTGCGGTGCACATGCACATGCACATGCGATTAACACCCGCCGCATCCACAATTGCAGCCACCTGGCGGCGTGTGGCGTATCTTCTCTACTGACCCGACCCGTCCCGTCCGCTCCGCTTTTATGCCCGAGCCAAGGGCTTCGGCTCGTGGCTCTCGCCTCTCGGCTCTTTTGGGAGCCGGCATGGCCTTAGTACTCATACTCCCTCTCCCACTCACTCTCCCTCTCCCTTGCACTCGATGGTACTAGTTGGTCTAACTATGCTTGTGTGTGCTTGCGAGCGGAGAATAAAAGGAGAGCTGTACTATAGTGAGCGAGGGAGTGAGAGAAAGCGAGAGAGAGAGCCGCTCTCTTGTTTGAGCAAAAACAAAAAAACATTACATTTGCCATTTTGGAAAAAAACAAATTTGTTAAGAGTCTTTATATAGCAAAAGGTTTATCGATAGATAGGCATATCTAGACAAAGGTTCATGATCAGGTTTTGCACAATCGATAAGGTTTTATTCAAAAGGGATTATTTTGTATTTATATATGAGTTTGATGCATAAATATTAATTTCTATATAGAAACTAGTGGATATTTTATTTAATTAGGATATATAACATAGTAGTTTTTATTTTAATATATTTTTAAGCAACGGTTCTAATCCTAAGTATGTTCAAATAAATTTTATGGAACAATTAATATTAATAAAATTAAAACAAACGAAATTACAACTAAAACTCCTCTCTAAAAGGAATTTCCAATAAAGTAGAATCCAAAGTATCTTTACCCAGACCCAAAGAATTATGTTTTGGGATACAGACACCTTGAATACGACGAAATCCTTGACGGCAAACGCATTCGGGATTAAGGCAAAAGTTTGCCGCAGGACAATTCCTGCCTGAAGGACATTTAATCATAGTACAGCTAACCACTTCATTAGGCTGACAATCTACACCCATTACCCGGTAATGGTCATCTGAAATCTAAGATTTACTAAGGTTTATATAATATATAGATTTGGGGAAACTAAAATATTAACCTTTGAGGAGAATGCTTGGTACATAAAACCGAGTAGAAAAATATGCAACACTAAAAAGTTAATAAACATTGCGATACTAAGAACTACAAAGGTTCTGTGACTTTATATTACTGATACCGCTTAGCCATATCTAATATGATTAAGTGATGGCTTTAACTAAATATAATTATTATATGCATTACTGATGCATATTAAATGAATATGAGAAACATCTATAAGCTTCTAATCAACTTTCCAATACCCTACTTGCATTTAAATATAACTATTACCTAAATACAAAATTTCTATATTACGTATACGCAATATTATGTTTACATGCATCATAAATTGTTTTTAATTTAAGAAAATGTATTTAAGAGACATTAACAAGCTGCAAATAAACCTTATAATACCTTGTTAACCTTTAAATATATATATATCACTTGAAGAAAATGTTCTATATTACGTATACGTAATATTAATTTCAGACCACTAATTGTTTTTAATTGAAATTAACAAAATGAGTTTAAGAAATGTTTACAAACTACAAATTAACCCAATAATACCCTGAATGAATTTTAAAATAACTTTTACTTAAAAAGAAATTTTTATATTACGTATACGCAATATTACTTTATTGCAAAATTGGTTTAAATTGAACAAAATGAATATGAGAAACATCTCTGAACTATTAATCAGTCTTCTAATAGCCGGCTTGCATTTCATTATAAGTATACTTTTAATGTAATTGTCATATTACGTATACGTAATATTAATTTCTCACATTACGTATACGCCATGTTTGACAGAAAAAAGTAACCGGAAGCGAGATCTAAGCCACTTTTAAACACATTTTCCACACCATTTACTGCCTCTAAACACATCAAGGGCACACGTGTGTCCTCTTGGCATAAAGGGTAACACATCTCCCCCACATCCTGCAGACTCCACAGGGGGTTCATATGATTTGCATATATGCAGGCCAAGTCGGACAGCAGCAGCAGCAGTAACAAAAACAATAACAACAACGAACATTTGCAACCAAAACAAAGATGCTGCGCTCCTGACACTGAAAACCCGCACACAAGGCCAATCGACGAAATCAGGCCACGCACACGAATTCCGGCACGGTGGCGACGATGACGATGACGATGAGGATGGCGATGACGTAGCGATGCGATGCTTCCGGCAAACCAAAGCCTACCACACCAAAAGGCCGGCCGGCTTCCCCAGGCCAACACACATTCAACCATTTCCAGTTAGCTCCTCTTCAGAAGCTCAGAGAAAAGTGCACTCAATGGTGCACAGAGAGAAATTTAAGTGGGTTTGGTTTGATTATGAAAAATTATTAAAAATAGGAGGATAGAAATAAATGGGTCTCTAATAATTAAAAGGCACTAAATTTTATCGATTTTTTAGTATAATTTGTCAAGTATTTTATAAAGAAATACTACATACTAAATACTAAAGTTATCAATCCCCTCTCAGTGTAATGCAATCCATCCACTGCGAGTAAACACCGAGGACTATCACACTCCTGAATCGGAGAGCGAGAGTGTTGGCCAAAACGGCGGGTGGTTTGGCAAGGATATGGGAATAGGTGGCAGGAGGCAAGTGCAACTCTCCTGTGCGCATGTGAGGCTGCTGTTCTTGTCGGCACTTGTGTGTGCGTGGCCACCTCGGTGGCTTTCCAGGCATTGCCTTTACCATCACCATTCACCATCGTCGTGGTCGTGATGGTTGCAACGGTGGAATGTGGCAGGAATGGGATTGGGAGTGGGAGTGGGTTCCGAGGATGCAGTAAAGTCGGCGCATTTTGGCCGCACTTTGCCGGTCAATTCCCAGTCTCAGACAGCTAAATGTGTTACAAGTGGCACACAAAGGCACTGTGAAATCTGGATTATTATAATTTAAATTTTTTTGGTAATTGGGGTTACTAAAAAAAACATTACTTAAGGCTTTTTCAGTGTACTTAATCAGTTTAAAAGTTAATTAAGGCTTAGGGATAACGTTATGAATTTTAAATAGTTGAAAAAAATTTCCTAGACAGCTGCAAATTTACAATATATATATATATTGAAGTGAAAGACTAATTTCCAAACATATAAAGTGTATAAGTAATTATGATCAGTAAAAAACTATGATCAGTAATTAACCATGATAAGTAAGTATCAAAGAACACTAAGTAACTATGATCAGTAAGTAACTATGAGCAAGTAATAACTATGATCAGTAATTAAGTATGAGTAGTAGTAGTCACTATCACTATCACTACAGATGTAAACACTAGGTACCCCTAGGACAGACTGAGGCGCGCGCGACCTCAGCGCCTCTATTTATAGTCCCCGAGGAGAGAGGAGCAGAGAAAGTGAGTGTGAGTGCGTGGGAGAGAAGGAGGTGCCTCTAGAGATATACATAGAGCGAGAGACAAAGAGAGAGAGGGGGAGAGGCAGAGAGACAGAGATAAACAGCGAGCTTAACTATGAGCAGTAATTAACTCTGATAAGTAATTAACTCTGATAACTCTGATAAACAATGACTTGCAAATTTTGTACCACAACACGTTTCTGAGACCTGGCCGGCAGCAGTCACTTCGTTCCGGGGATGTTAGAACAAGTTGAGAATCATATGCACAGATGTGCGAAATTTGTTTTGAAACAAATTTAAGCTATTTGAAGGAAACTATGTAGTTATTGTTCTATATAATTTTACTACTATATAAGTCGGAGCATGGCAAATCGGTGGACTATATATATACATATATATATTTATATATATAGCTGCCGTAGGAACGATCGGAAAATTTTAAGAAAACTAATTATAACTTTTCAAGTTTTCAACAGATTTTCATCAAATTTGATTCATAGCCATTATATATTAATCTAGAATTTTATGTAAAAATTTATGAAAATCGGACTACTATATTATATAGCTGCCATACAAAAGATCGTTAAAAAATTGAGAAAAAAGCAAAACTTTGAATGTAAGACTGTAAATATAAAATGTTACATATATGTAAGGTGAATAAAACGAAAGCAGGCATTCCCTTATTTTTTTAACATAAATATATATATTTATATTTTATAATGGTGTCCAAAGGTTCTTAGATATATTAATCTTTATTTATATCCTTCAAATTCCTTGGGATATTTACAAGAAAAATCCTTATCCTTAACAAATCGTTGGGATATTTACAATAAAACCCTTTTTATTATGTAATTTCCGGTATATTTATACCCTTGCAGGGTATTATAATTTCAGTCAGAAGTTTGCAACGCAGTGAAGGAGGCACATCCGACTATATAAAGTATATATATTCTTGATCAGGATCAACAGCCGAGTCGATCTAGCCATGTCCGTCTGTCCGTCTGTCCGTCTGTCCGTCTGCCCGTCTGTCCTTCTGTCCGTCTGTCCGTCTGTCCGTCTGTCCGTTTCTACGCAAACTAGTCTCTCAGTTTTGAAGCTATCTGAATGAAACTTTGTAGTTAGCCTTCTATATACTCTCACTCGTATATATGTCGGAACGGGCCGGATCGGACGACTATATCATATAGCTGCCATAGGAATGATCGTAAAATTTTTACAAAAAAATTTTTAACTTTTTCAGTTTTCAATAGAATTGGATCAAATTTAAGATATAGCCATTTTACTATACTCTACAATTTTGTGTAAAATTTTATGAAAATCGGACCAATATATCATATAGCTCCCATAGGAACGATCGAGAAATTAATACAATTAAATTTATAACTTTTTTAGTTTTCAGCTGATTTTCATCAAATTTAAGGTATAGCTATTTTATATTAGTCTTAAATTTTTTGTCAAATTTTATGAAAATCGAACGACTATATCTTATAGGTGCCATACAAACGATCGTTTGATGTAGAGGAAAAATGCAAATCTGTGAATGTAAAACTGCAAATATAATATGTATAGGTGAATGAAATGAAAGCAGGTATTATTATTCATTGTTTTTTGACACAAATATATATAATTTATATTGTATGGATTCCTATTCATAGAAGTTCTATCTGCAAGGGTATATAAACTTCGGCG